CGTAAGTGCCCAAGTACTCTTGTAGATCAGTATGTTCGTGGTTGTTAATTCGCACAAATTTGTTTCCGCTAAACTTAGCGAGATATTCGATCATACTAGTCTTTCCGGATGAAGTTGGACCTTGAATTAAAACTGGAAAGCGACGAGTTGAAGTTGCACGGACCAAGTTGAGCATGTTACGCTCGACAAACGGCGTGATAATGTAGTGAGGTTGCTCTTGAGGGGTCTCATAACCTTGAAGCATCCAATATTGACGATCTCTTTTCTTGTTCACGAATCGTACATATTGTTTTCCATCCTCTGGGTGTTTTGGTGTTTGGGCCAAAAGAGCTTGTGGGTTGCCATGGCTGTCTAACAAATGGTGCTCAATAAGTGGCACAAGCATCTTTTCGGATTCTCGATCAAGAAGAGTCAAGAACCCCATCGCAAATCCTTCATAGAGCGCCCTGCGTAAGCCATAAGACGGAGCAATCTCGGTGACGTAGGAGAGAACACGAGTCAATGTTCGCAAACTGAAGTGCGGTACTTCATTTGCACCATCAACCAATCGCTTCTCTTCGGCAAGTCGTTTCGTGTTCATATAAAGACGTGCGACATCGTGAGCAGCCCTTTCGTCGTTGCTACTTGTCCCTTTGAGATATGCTTTAATGACAGCCAAAAGATCGTCTAGATTCTTGTCCGGACTATCGACATATAGTTCAGTGAATCTGGAACGTAGCCCCATAGGAATATCGCGCTTTCCAACATCTGTTGCTGGATTCATGGCACCAAATATGCGGAAATCTGGGTGTGCTTGGATTCGTTCTATCTCACCGGTTTCGGATAGAAGAATTGAGGGAGAACCAGTCCCACCATGCAACAGATCAGCTATACTCTCAAGCGTATCTGGAGATGCTAAATTGACTTCATCGAGGAGTACCCACTCTCCGTTGCGAGCTGCTTTGACGATGTTACCTTCAACAAATGAGAAAGCAAAACCCTTCGAGCCTGCGGACAACTGAATATCGAATTGGTCCAAGCTCTGCGAAAACCTTGACCAACGAGACTTCAATTTCAACAGTGACTGTAATTTTGACTCCGTCTTTCGCCTCTTTGTTGGTTGCTCAGAGGTTGTGAGAATGCTTGCTTCTTCCTTTTTGGCAAGCTCAGAAACGATTTTTTCAAACATTTTGGGAGCCTCACGCCACAATTTCGATGCCTTGCTCCATTGACTCTTTGCGACGCACTTTCCAAGTTGATCAATGTACTTTTGGTTCTTTGTAGCAGAAATACCCGTCGATGCAAAGAGATCATCAAATTCATCTTTGAGTGGGATTGCAAGACTTCGGACATTAACAGGTTTAAAGCCTCCAAGCAAATCACCGACTTCACTTTGTTGTGATAAATTCACAGCAGTGAGTTTGAAACCCAACGAATCTGCAAGCTGCTGTACGACTGTAGTCTTACCAATACCAGTCTCTCCAACTAACAAGACTGGCTCAGCCATCCGGACTGCTACTCCAACTTGTTCAAGCAGTTTTTTGGCATGCGTTGTATTTGCAAAGGGGCGGCCCTTTTTAGTGGGTTTCGTAACACGACTACTTCGCTTTTTAGACAATCGAACTCTACCAATCAAAAGCTCATTGTCGCCGTCATCATAACGTGGAACATGGCCAGTGAGGAAATGTTCCATAGTCTGAGGATCAATGTGCATTTCCTCAGCAATGCATGAAACCACCGACCTCCGGGATTCCTCAGACTGCAGACTTCCTGCAAAGCAATCGGCGGCTTCTAAAAACATCTCATATTTTGTGCTGTCGGTTATAGGCTCACTGCCGGTCTTGGATCCTGATGATGTAAGAACGCTTGCTAGTCTTCTGCACCATTTTAGAAGATCCCGAGGACTTATTGGGCGTCCAATTGAAGTTCGAGTTTTAGATGCGAAAGAAGGCTTAATAGAGAGTGTATAGAGCCGTTCGTAGACGCTGATGATTCCAGGCAAAAATTGGCGCAATATTGGATAAGTACCGTCGATTATTTCTCGAAACTCGTCTTGGTTTGGCATTTGAATAGGAACACGCTGCCACATTCGTGCTCCGAGCATGTGTAATGCTGGTGGAATCTCTCCGCCACTGACATTCAAAGAGGTTCGAATACTCGCAAGAAGCTTGAAACCTGCCTTGGCCTTGATAGTTTCACCACGACTTGGTATTAAAAGCTCGCCTCTCTCCACGAGTGGCAATATTACACTAATAACTTCATTTGGAGCGCGATCAAGATCCTCGATGAAAACCCAACGCCCTTCCTTAACAGCAGTAGTTAGAACACCTGCTCTCCAGGTGAAAGATCCAGGTGTAGATCCTGTAGCGTACATGCCAATGAGCATTTTTGCATCAGTCTGCTCATTCAAATGAAGTGTGACCATGCTTGAATCCATCCCAAGTTCTCGTGCGAAGTCATTGACCAACGAAGTCTTTCCAGCACCAGCTAACCCGTGAAGTAGGATTGGCGATGAAGACATGAGGGCCTTGGCAAAGGATTCTCTATTCTGCGAGGTTGTCGTTGTTGATATAAGTTTAGATGGCTGCGAAGGATAGCCGTTTGGACGAGGTAAGAGCACATCTGAATATCGAACAACCAGTGGTGAAAACTCCTGTAATACCTTTTGAGATTGAAACATCTCTGTCCCAGTGCTTAGTTCCAGGGCAGCATTTTTCAGCCGCCTTTCTTCGAAGATGCTAAGGAACCCATAGTCCACCATTTCGCCATCGAAGTCCCCCATTACTGCCATTGTGTTTCCAACGAATTTCGCAACCATTGCTTCCAATCTATCGTCCGAGGCGAATTGAAGCTGGCAGAAGATTCTTACCGCAAGATATCTAACTGCTAAATCAGTGTGTCCGAGAAGTCTCTGAATCGCGGAGCTTGAAACTGTCCCGGAGTAGGCTTGCTTGTCGAAGTTTAGAAGTCTCCATGTTGCCAGCAGAATTTTTTGCAGCGCAAGATCAGACAAACCATTGCCCAGGACGCTTGCACCATCTCTCAGGCTGATTATATTGCGAGAAGGGCCGTTCTCTGTAGAGGGTGTAGTTTCGGAGAGATATTTATCGAGAAAGGTGGTGAGGTGCGGCGCATGGTATAGTATTCGTGAAAATGCTTCAATGATTTCATTTTTTTGAGTACCAAGTTGCGAATTGGCAACCCATCTTGCTGCCGAGTCCGCAATTAAGGAATTAAAATATGTGAATAATTTGAGTGTGAGTTTGGGCTTCAATGCAGATATGGCGAGAGTTTCGAGGAAATGAGGGGATTGTTGAAGATTAACGATTTCCAGAATTTCCTCTGGAAGGTTTGCCTGCAGGTTGCTTTCCATGGTCATACCAGGATTATTTCCATCCTGAATAGCCTCCATGTCGTTCAATCATAAATATTGTGGGATATCAATTGTTTATTTCTATGCAACTATCTTGAACTTTTTTTCTTAATCTCAATCAACTTTTTTTGACAGTGCCGAAGTTTCCCCGACGCGCTAGAAATTTAGCTCCACCATGCAGAAAGTCTACAAAGTCCTCATCAACAATTATAGATTGTATTATCATATCGCCTCACATACCCACACACGATGTCATTATCCTGCCAGTCCGCAGCTCGCAGCTGCATAAGATCTCTCCGATCATCCTCATCCCTCCGCGTTTCCACAGCTTCCCTCACACAAAGAAGAAATCCTTCTGTGAGATGGGCATCAACAGAGGCAGCGTCAGCGAACCCAAAGATCTCCGGGATTGTGGACCAGATCAGTCAATTGACTTTATTAGAGACAGCTGATTTAGTTGCCAGCTTAAAGGTAAGGCAATTTCTGCCTGATATATGCGCCTGATGAAGTCTTTCACAGTCACTGATCAACTTATTCTCCAGTCACGACTAAATATTCCCGACATGCCAATGGGGGGATTTTCTGCTGGCCCTGCTCAGGCCGCTGCACCAGTTGAGGAGGAAGACGCCGCACCAGTACAACAAGAGAAGACTTTGTTCAACCTGAAGTTGGCTTCGTTTGATGCGGGGGCAAAACCTAAGATTATCAAAGAGATCAAGAGTATGTTAGGATTAAGTTTGGTGGACAGTAAAAAGTTCGTCGAAAGTGCGCCGAAGATGATGAAGGAGGGCGTGCCGAAGGAGGAAGCCGAGAAAATTATTGCAACATTGAAGGAATTGGGAGCTGTTGTTAACATGGAATAAAAACCTCTACGAGAGGAGTTGCATAAGCCGCGGGGTTCGGAGAAATTCGGCATGTATCAATAGAGATGTGTACAAAATCTACTTCTCATCCAGGCATACATAGAGAAACTCTATATAATCTGCTGCGGCAGGTTTTGGGAGAGAAAGACTGTCTAGTCATCAGAGAGTCCTCAATGTCAACCCGATTTTTGTGAGGATGACACCGAAGTGGATGTAGAATTCAGACCAAATCGAGTGCCCCGCACTTCAATGACTTCAATGAGATTCTATCGAATTTCAAAAAATCTTCAAAAATATGGAAGCAGATATTCATGAGAATCTTAAACAGAAGCACGAATCCTACTCTTCTAATCATTAGTGAGTCTGATACAACCTATGCCCCGCTTCTACTTGAGCAAACATGGTTGCGTTTCTAGCGAACGCCCAAATCAGCAAGTAGCTCCATGTTCGATGCTCCATGAGTTCGATAATACGAGGTGAGGTGAAAGTAGAGTGCGTCATGAAGTAAGTCTATCAAATGTCTCTCAAATGTCTACGAAATGTCTCTCAGGAAATCCACAATTGTTGTCAAAATGTCAAATAGAAGACACAAGTACCACTCCACTGAGTTTTGTGTACCATAATGGGTACCATTAATGGACAACTCATTAAAGCAGTTCAAAAGGTCACAAGTTCAAATTGATCTGAACATCCCAGAAAGCATACTTTGCTCACAGAGCCAGCAGTTCTTATTCTCACTTTGATCTTAGCTTCCCAAGTATCAAAGCAGTTATCCTCTTCGTATAATGTTTTGCTTTGGTATGGCCAGTGGATCTCCTCCGCTTCACTCTCGTTCTTCTGTTCCACCCCGGGTCATCGCGTAAGCCAACTTATCCCGAATCCGCTCACACAACCCACTTCAACTCCCTATCCACCACAAAATGCCTACTGACATTCCTCTCCCTTTTCAAAGCATACTCCCCCCCACCTATCGCTCCAATTGCGGCATAGGCAGCATGCTAGTTATTGTTGAACCATACATACCTCGCCCACGCCGCATGGTGTACACCCACCACATCAATCTTCGCGTCATTCCTTACATCATGGCAATTCAGGATACCAAAGGGAACGAAGGCTTTCACTTCATGAGGGTCGAGGACGCTTAATGCAGAGAGACCTAGTGGACTTGGTCATGAATTGTTTAGGAGACATGATTGAAGTGAGAAAGGGGGAAGAATGGACAAGTCGCTTACGATTTAAAAGCAGGTGGGGTTTGCATATTTAATATCAAGGAGGTTCAAAATCACATCTTGTACCCACGTCAACAAGGCTGATTTCAACTTACAGGCCTAAATCGTGCATCCAACAATCTAAAAGCTAGTGAAGATGATCTTTTCAAACCATGGAGTATCTAAGAAAAGAACAAAATGCATACTCTAAAAGCATAAAGAAGCTCCAACTTTCCTTCTTGTTAGTTTTTCAGAGTCTAAGTAATTCACAATTTCAAGTTATTGAAGCAACCTTTGATTCAATAATCCCTAAATCTCCATAGAACAATCTCGAACCAGAAAACTGCCACTTTCTTCCCACCGCCCTGAGTAGGTCCTAGCCGAAGACACAAACTTGATCCAATTTCACTTAATCTTTGATTACTCTTTTCAATGATCTCTTGCAAATACAATCCAGACAATTGGTTTCCATTATCTGCAATACCTCAACATCTTGCACTGGAATATTTCGCTAGCCTCACTAAGCACACCTTCTCCAAAATGTGTTGTTATGTTCTTACAAGTCTCTTTATTCCAGTATAGGTTTCGAATCTAAGGTCCTCGAATATCTATCAACTTTTCAAAGCTTTATCAAAAGTTGACTAGATTCAGCTTCGCGGTAGGCGATTTTATCGCTGCTATCGATCTAGTTATCTATCGTTATTATCCTCCTCAGAAAATTTGGTAACTCCAATTGAAGCTTTGGCAAAGTCGAACACCTAACTCTGAGTATGAAGCGATGTTAAGAGAATGGATCTTGTGGAAAAATAACACGCAGACAGGATCACACTGCAAGAAGCTGTCTCTTGCTTTCATATTTCAACTAGCAAATTCTGGAACACACTAGAGAATACCAGCCTTTTTTCTTGGATATCGCACTTTTTGAGCTTGAAAGCTATTGCGTTGGGGACTGCAGCAGCTACCTGTCAAAGTGAAGGTTGTGTCAGATTTAAAGCAATCCAATTATCTCATTATTGGTTGATCGGCATCAATATTGCTATTGACCAGTATAGCGAGTGTGAGTGATGAGAATCATCCAGGAGATGACGCAAGATACTAACCTGTCCCAGGTCGAGCAACCTCTAGTGGAAAAAACACTAAGCCTCACGATAACTATTCTTGCGCACCAAATCAAAATGTATACTTTGGAAGTATGCGGCGGGTATCAGAATATGGCTCGGTACATCCAAAGGCTTTACATAGTTCAACGATGTATTGGCACATTCAAGGTTACGCAGTTGTGTTGTCTTTCTTAGCAGACGCATCTTGAATACCGCTCAGGATATAAATTCTCTGTAATGTTAAACCTTGAATTATACCACAATCCATCAACGATTGCTGAAGTTTTCGAACTGATATTGAACGTCCATAGACTGATATCAGCACATACCGGGTCAAGTGGCTGCCCAGCAGCCCATCCATCTTTTCGGCTGGTTTATCCGTTTCTACCCGCAGCTTATATGATAGGAAGAGGGAAGATACAACCCACATAACCGCTGCTTCATATCCTAATTTGAAAAGGGATTCGTCTCAGCGGTAAAAACTATCTTCCTCAATGTTAGCTAAGAGGCGACTTATATCAAGAATGATGGTTTCGTCATCCAAGACTTCGCTAATACACAACACATTTGATTGAAGGACGACGAGCAGTTGCATTAGAAGTTGCATTTATTCCCGAACAGCGAGTAAAAGTTACTATGATATTCAAAAAAAAAATTGAGATCGCAAGTATTTAATGGTTGTCTAAGTCGAAAATTGACAAGAAGTGTTAGAATACATATATCAAGGTAGGAAACCACACCTGCCTCGTTGACATGAGTCTTATGCTGACATCATTCAGTTCTAAGGATTGCATAAGCTTTCATATCATTGCAGAAGTGATTTGAAACTCCTCATAAGTTCTTTAATCCAACGCCCGTCGCCAATAAATAGGTTGCAAAGAATGAGTTTAAGAATGTTCTTGGATCTAGTCCACAGAATATTCAGCTTCCTCAACTATATCCAAGCAGAAAATCCACCAAGCCTAGTGACGAACAATTTACTAGAAAGCTGTCACTTCCATCATTTTCCTTAAAACACTGCAGGAAGACAAGTACATGAATCACTCATCAATACTGAGCCTAAGAACTCATGAGACAAGCGACTGATTACAGTTCCCTGTGGTGACCACAGAAACCTGATGCAATGATAAATAAAGTTGAACAATGTTGTATGATAAACCTATCATTAATGTTATTTGCACAACTCACTTGATCGATAGGCATCCAGCCATACACAATGAAGGCTAGAAAGAAAAATGCATTAAAAATAAAGGAACAGAAGAAAGATACCACGATCAACACCAGCCGAGCCCCTGAAATGGCTTTTGATGAATAGAAACCAACATTCCACATTGAAATGTTGGTAAGAGTCTCTCTTTATTTGGAAAGTCACCTTGGTTCATTCCAATGACACAACTTGTGCGAGACTTCTCGAGATGTGAACAATTCATATGTCCTCGAGGCCGCAAGGCACCTAGATGGTCGTCCTGCCGATGCCAAAAATACAAATCACTAGCTCCCATCACCAGATAAAAGTTCTTATCCTGGTTACAAGAGAGGAAGTGAGGATTACAAGCGACTGCAGATTTCAGTTTACCAAAAGATAATTACCATCGATAAACCCAGACAAAGATCTGAATTTTTTTGAACCAAGGAAACTCTCAAAATCAACTACCGCCACGACAGCACGATCTCATAATTGATTATTGAAGAACCACCTCATATCTCGATAACTTTCTCTTCATATCCACTTCGTCCAACCTCTCCAGCCCACTTAGCCTAGCGATATTTTACAGCAAAAATACATCGCAGAGAGTCTGTGGAAGGAAGCCAAAGTTTCTCAATATGGATTCAATTGATACCAAGAGAGATCCGACAACGCACATGATGGAGGTCAATTTCGAGTCGCACGTCGAAGCCGAAACTCTTGACATCTCACACGTAAAATTGAGCAACACATACCCGGAGGCAGGATCAACTGGCAAATCACCACGCTTAACCTTTGGTGTGGAATTGGAGATCGCTGTTGGTACTCTAAGGGACATATGCCAAAACCCAACACCGAAAGATGGCCGTAGAGTCTACGGAGTTGGCCGGCCTGCCAACTCACCTCCATTGCAATACGATCCAAGACCAGCGAACTTTGGCGAGAGTTCTATCGCAGAACGCTCATATAGAGTGAAGGGACGTTTTTGTGTGTATGAAAATATTGCACAAACCCTTAACTGCGCTGGGTTCCCAGCTATACATATGGACGATGCAGAATACCAGAAAACTGGATATACCAATGAGATGACCAGCAAGTGGATCATCGGGACTGACATCAGTATTGACCTCCCAGATGAGTCAATCTATGACTACCACAAGCTCGAAATCAAATCGCCAGTTTATTACTTCAGCGAGGAGGCGCTAAGCGATGTTACACGGGTCTGGGAGATCATCGCCTCCACCTATAAAGTCGTCACAAACGAATCGATGGGATTGCACGTTCATGTCGGCAACGGAGTTGATGCTTTCGACGGCGAAACTTTAAGAAATTTGTGGGGCATTCTCTGGACTGCGGAGAAATGGATCGAAACCATTCACCCTCCTCATCGCAGAGTCAACTCATTCTGTCAAAGCTTTCATTGCTGTTCCAACCTGGGACGCGAGATTGGAGAAAAATCTCATAAAAACCCAGAAGAAGTGGTACTCGAATGGATTTTAACCAGGAACCCTCCAACCGTGCGCGAATTCCTCGACACTATCTGCATGCACAGCGGTGCCTACAACTTTATCAATTTACTACCAAGTCAGAACTTCGGAAGTACAAAGCGTACGATTGAGTTTCGTCATCATGAAGCAACAGTCGATACAGAGCGAATAACACAATGGATCAGAGTATGCGTAGGATTAGTCAAGGTATCTGCAGCTACGAACCCCGCCGTCCTAGACCCATATCTGCGGCTCTTGATACAGAAAAAGAGAGAAAAGCTTCGTATATGGGAGCTTCTAAAGGAGCTTGGGCTTGAGAGTTCAGCGGTTTATTACAAGGGTCGGATTTTGAAAGAGAGACCGGTGGGAGTTGTAGTCAAGGACTTGTGGAAGAAGACGACGAGATTTGTTAAAAGATAAACGATGCTTTTCTCATCAGATGTCCGGACCCTCAAATTTTATCCGGAAATCATCCATTTTATTTCAAGCATTCAATTTTCCGTTTTCGAAGCAGGCTCTAATCGTGTTTTGAGATACCCAGCTTCATTTCCGAATTCGGCATACGATACCAGCACTCCATAGAATCTCAAATAATACAATAGAACAATCAAACTCGTCTCCTACATTCGAAAATCAATAACAATCCTCTCTTGAAAGTCTTACTGCCAATTTTCGCATACTAGCATTTTAGTCTTCAAATTTTCCTGCTTGCATTCGGACTTCAGCATACAACATTCGAAGGAGCCTAAACCAGCCTTCAATTCTTCAGACGACCTTCGACCATTCGAAATCTATTTTCAAGTCGATACGAGATGCACGGAAGCCATCGGATGGGTGTTAGAATTGCATGGTGGTTTGTAGGATTAGTCTGATGTCGTTGGAAATTCTAATTACATAATACAATACATTATAAGCATCGGGCTTCTGGTCCCACAAACTCCAAGGTTATTATGCTCACGCACAGGTTTGGGGTTTGAATTGTGAAATGATAATAACTTTGCTCATTAATTTTAAGGGAATAAATGGTAAATGTATATAAATCGTTCTTTACACTTGATATCATACAAATCATTCCCCTGCCCCCGTACCGCCCCCTGCCACCGCCGATCCCGTCCCTAAATCCACGATTTTGCCATACCTGTATACATTTAACCTAATATATGAATCATATTATAGACAAAATCATCCTCGTTGAGTTTGTTTCTTTTGCGCCTTTCTCATCTCCTTTTCCTTCTCCTTCTCGAGGTACTTCTTTTGTGCCTTGGCGTCAAGACCCTTCAATTCAAGATCCCTCTTCAATTTCTTAGCCTTTTCACGTTCTAATGCACGCTCCTCAGCTTTCTCCTCTTCGTCCGCTTTTTGAAGCCTCTTGATTGTATCTTCACGGGTCATGCGCACTTTACGCATGGCTTCCGGTCGGAAATGAGCGCCAGATGCAAGGTGATCCGTGATTCTGATGAAATGTTCAAAGAGAGGAAGAACTCGAGAGTAATCGTCACCGGAAGGAAGTTTCATGGATAGATAGATGCGTTTTTTTGGAACAGTATCATCGAGTCTATGGAAATGGTAAGTAGATTGACGTTTCCAGAATTTAACATGTGGGGCACTTACTTCAAAGGTCGATCAATTGGCTGATCAGTAATGATGAGATGCTCAAGTAGATCTCCAGCCAATTCCACTGCCTCAATTAATGCAGGAGTGAGCAAGAAGTCAGTAACCTCGGCGCTCTCGCTCATGACGGTAGCCCAGTTTGGGAGCTTAGAACTATCCTTAGTACTAGTTATGGAGACGTCATATCTGTCATCACGAAGTGACTTCATTGTCTCCTTGTTTACAATAGCCCAAACGAAATTGTCATATGTGCTCTTAGTATCTTTGCGCAATTCATGTGCACCAGGAGCTTGGCCAGGAACAGTAAGATTCTCTCTGCCGTCAAAAGGATAAAGTATAGCTTCCATGCGCTCAACAGGTGATGCAACGGTGTCAAAGAAGAGACTGAAGCCGTACTCAATAGCGAGTGCGAAAGGGTTGTAGCGCTTGAGAAGTTTGACGTTGACATCAAGGAATGCGACATTTTGACGACCAGTCGCATAAGTTGCGTACTCTTGTGGAGACTTTTCCTTCAACATATCTTCGGGCAATTCGAGTTGCTTAGCCATTGACTTTGCACTTTCTTCGTCTTCGATTTCCTGAGTCGTCGGGGCGCGACCGCCGAACCCAACTAGTGCAAACTCCTTGCGTAGAACTGGTGCGTGTGCGGCCATCCATTTTTTCGCCTTCTTGCGGTTTGTGCCAGTTCCGAACAAGTGGATAGAAACGAGGACAAGTAACAGGCCTAAAATGATACCTTCTTGCTTAAACTCGCTCAGAGAATGTCGCTCATGAACATTGTACCATTTGGTGTAAGGAACTGCAGCGCCAGTAGGAGTTGCTACTGGTCCAGTGTAATCAGCCGCTGAAGGGATTGCGGAGAAAGCTGGAGTTGGATCTGGAGCTCCAGCGAAATCTGCGAAATCTGTCGATAAATAAGTTTAGTACATGTTAGGTACGAAGAAGCATTGAGTGCAAATTTACCAGAATCTCCAGCTTGAACAGGAGCTGCAGGTGGCTCGGAGCTTCCGAAGAGACCATTCAATAATGCCGCCATTCTTGGTGAAATTGATCTTAAATTGATGGTGAGCTGGAGCTTTTGTCTCGAAGCTTGAGATTGTGGATAAATTACTTCCCATATCTATGCTAACTGTATCAAGGTTAATGTCATTCGGTGCTGTTCTGCCGTGGAGCAGATTTGACCGCCTTTCACTTCGTCTCTTAGACAACCACAATCCCGAAGTTTACCCTTCACTAAATATGGTTTTACGCAAAGCATGTCCAATCAGACAGATATTGATCAGATTGCTTCTAAGCACATATATTGAGTATCTATAATTGAAATCACTACCAGAGAATAAGAAACTATTGAATTAGTCACTACATTGTAAGTATATACTACGGCCTGGGATCTGGGTTCTTCTCAAGCCAAAGCCACGAACAAACTACAATCTGAGGGGACCTCGCAATGCTAAAAATATGAAGAGATGGTGTCTGGGTAGTTCCTTGAGGCCCTCTATACTCCATAAAGCTGTGGGATCTATCAGATTTATGAATACTTTCGTTTGGCGTTCAAGTATCGTACAACTTCGAGAGATCTGCCGAAGTTCAAATACCAAATCATGAATCTTCACTATGATCATCTTAGTACTCGGCCACATCTTCATATACATCTGTTTGTGGTAGGGATAACAAAGAACACTCACTAACTCCAAGCAGTGTCATGACACGAAAATATGGGAAGAAGCGTCCTGCTGCAAGTGCGGCAGCTGTAGCCATTTTTGGATCCACAACTCAATCAGTTGCTTCGGTAAAGACGGATTCCGCTACAACCTCCAAATCGCAATCTGCACAGAGAGACCTTGCGGAAATCACGAATCTATTAGAAAATACGAATCTTTTAGAAAGTACCGACGAGGCGACCGTCCTCCTCGAGAAGACGAGTCTAGAAAGCCGTGTCAATAGTCTTGACAACCCTCTTGACCTCGAAATCATTGGTCAAGGCTCTTCTTCCAAAGATACCCCGGACCTCTTAGACGAGACAACCCTGGAAAGTACTATCGAAACGACCGTCAGCTCAGAGAAAAATTCAGCACCAATTGAACCTAAAATCGAAGTCACAATTCCTCAGACACCCGTTTCCATTTCCCCTACGCCACTCCCTATCAATCCACGCCTCGCAGCCTCTCTCTCACCTCTTCTGACCGCCTACGAAAAAGACAACGGCTACCCGCTAACTACCAAAAACTGGGACGATGTTCTGGCACCAGGCTCGAGTATCCAAAAAATTGCCGAAGCATCATATGCAGAAGTCTTTCGCATAACAAACCCAGTCGGGTCCTCAATTCTCAAACTTCTACGCCTCAAGGTTCCTACAGATCCAACGTCAAAGAAATCGGATACTGCAATCAAGGTCGACACTGTCGTATCTGAGATGCGTCTTATGAACGCACTTACAGAGATCCCCGGGTTTGTGAAGTTTAAAGACGCGCACATAGTGGAAGGTAAACCACCGGTAGCGTTTGTAACAGCATACGAAGGGCATCTAGACGATGGTGGAGAATCATATTTTCCGCACCCAAACAAGATCTCCAAACACGCGGTTTTCCTAGCTATCGAGCTTGGTGATGCAGGGCATGTTTTGGAGAAATACCCGATAAAAAATGTCGATCAGCTGTGGGACATATTCCTAGGCGTCGTCGTAGCTCTGGCAAGGGCAGAAATGGAACATGAATTTGAACACCGCGATCTTCACGAAAACAATATCTGTATCCTCGAACGCACACCCCGACCGGCTGCTCCTAAACCGAATTCAAAATCGAAATCAAAAACTAAGCCCCAAAGTCTATCATCACCCCACAAATTTGGCAACTCCGGTCTCGAAATAACAATCCTCGACTATGGCCTGTCCCGCGCCACCATTTATCCTGTTTCCACCTCCTCAAATCCTTCTCCAGCCCCCGAAACAGTTTTTTACAACCTTGAATCAGATACTGCTGTCTTCTCCTCTTTTGAACCCTCCACCATTGCCGGAGTTCAATTTGATACCTACCGTCGGATGCGTGCCTATCTCTTTTCTGGCGGCCTCTCAAATACCAACGCCAATACACCTTCAAAAGCTATACGAGATGCTATCAAACAAAAAAAACATTCTTGGGAAGAATATATGCCGTATAGCAATGTGTTGTGGTTGTACTTTTTGATGGAGTATCTGACGGAGGTGGCGCAAAAAGGAGGTAGGGGGAAAGCGGGAAGACAGGCATGGGTCAGAGAGACGGAGGAATTGAGGTGGCTTTTAGATCCCGATTGGGTACCTGGAAATGGTGCAAGCGACGATGAAGAAAAAGGTGAAGGCGAGGGTGAAGAAGAAGAAGAACTTGGACTGGGCTGTGCGGGAGACGTACTACAATATGCATTTGATATGGGGTGGGTTTGCGAGGAGGATTTAGAGGATGCAGACACAAGTCGTCTAAGTCTACGAGAAGATTCATATGTTGTATTGGACAAGGAGGACAAATCTCTGTCGTCTCCAAATTAGTCAACTATCTCAAACCAAAGCTCTATTTTGTTTAGAAAGGCATTATGCTGGGGCGGCGCTTTGGATATCCAGGTATGATATTTTTGGCGGGATGGATCCGGGTGGGTGGGGAGTAATCTTTGTGGTGTCGATGGTTCTGGGTAGGAAGGTTCCTATGGACTGGATGGAATGGGATAGAATGCTTCAGTTTGGCTAGATGCGATTTTCACTCAGGTTCATGAAATGTGTTGTCATATTGTGTACAACAATATTATTGATTGGAGAAATCAATGATTGACTGTCTTTTCAAATTGCTTGTCTGTCCAGTAAACTGTTCGTTGTCAACTAGTTCATTCAAGTGGAACATTGTAGCTCGAAGAACGCTAGGTATAATCCACCAAAGAATTCCGATTTTTCAAAGGGGGGAGGGGGGGGAGGGGTTGGTTAAATCTTGAAAAAAAAAAAATAACAAAACCGTATCCTTAGTTCACGTTGCTTCGATGTAAATCTCGTCATTGGCAAAAATCACGTGCAGATGTCTGCTCAAGATTTACACCTCTTTGCGAGAGCATAATTTTCGAAAGCTTTTTCATTTATATGGTTTTTGATTAGTTATAGAATCAAATATTCAGCTGATTAACTTCATTGTATAATGTATAATCAGCTTGCTTGAGCTTAGATTGTTTTATATGATTTTGAAATTCAGTAAGCTTAGTTAAATTTATAGTACGTCACATGGACATTTTTGCTCTAAAAAAGTTTCTTTCATTTGATATACTATTATCTAATCTCAAAATTAATCTGATAATGTAGTTTAACATCGAGTGACCTATATCATCGAATAGCCCACTTCAAAATACATACAAAATTCGTCTGTACGTAATCATACACTTTCTTCATTTATTAATAGAATTTTTTAAAAATTGAAATTAAAATATTTAATTATATAAATATTATAAAAATCTAATTTTTTTTTGAAAAATCCAAATTCTTATATAAGTTGTTATTAAAATAATATTTTTGTAACGAAAATCGTGACAATTTCGATTTTTTTAAAAATATAATAGAAATATTTATATAAAAACTAGTTTTTTTTAAAAAAAAAAAATTTATTATTATTTAATATCTTTTTCTTTCACAAAAATAATATTTGATTATTAAAATATAAATATTAAAAAAACTTAATATTAGTATATTTTGAAATGAGCCACTTAATGATATAGACCACTCGGTGTTAAACTACGTTATGTTATCTAATCTTATTTTCATTTAATAAAATATTGTATTATTATCTAATCTCTCTCAATATGAGTTCGACTATTCTTTTAATTAATCATTTTATTATTTCCTTTTATCTAATTTTATTTATTTATAGAAATTCTTTATAGGTTTTCTTTGTAGATTCTATATAAAATTCTTTTTAGAAGTTTTCTTTTCTTTTATTCTTTATTTAGATATTAATAGAATTCTACTCAAAATTTATCTTATAATAATATTAAAACAAATATATAGAATCTAATGATTTTAGTTTTAATTATAATTTCAAAATTCTTTTTCAAATTAGAATTAAAATCAGAATATTCAAAAGATAAGATGATACATATCATTTTTTATAAGATGAGAGTATAGATTAGATAATATTAAGAAATCTGATTATTATTATCTAATATCGTTCTGAGCGAAAATGTCCGCATGACGCGCCATACAAACTATTAATGATTGTGAACTGTGCCCTGAAATCCTTTCACTACTACTTACAGTATTTTTTACTCACATAGTAGTTTCAGGCAAAAATACAGTACTTCATGTTCTGAAATCGAGAGATTAATCAAATATCAATTGCTACTAATCTCATCAAATAGCCACGAAACAACCCTGAGACATTTTAGCAGCATTTGACGCTTCTGCACCCAAATCCGCATAGAACAGTTTGTTTCCCATCATGGTGCCTATCATAGCTTCGTCATGCAGACGGGATGATTTCAGTCATGCCACCGTTGGGGGGCCATACACTAGTGATACCCAAATTACCCCCTTACAGATCTTGTAGCAGTTTTGCGCGACAATGATGCCTTTATCGATCTTAGAGCCATTCTGCACTTCTGTGATGGGCTGGGCAACGCGTCTGATGTCAGCTCCAAGCCTCTTATGACAGAGTTATTTTACCTTGCCAGGCCTCTACTACAGCTTAATAGTGGAGATGCATATATGGAAGCTGCGAAAAATCTGCGTACTAGATTGACACCTTCACAAAGAGAGGCCTCAGATGAAGGCTTAATGGAGAGTCGGCGTGAAACACTCGTAACCTTTCTCTTGCAGCAGAAATTCATCACAGAGGACCTCGATATTTGGGATGCAGATAGACTTTTTGAGTATTTCCTGGTAGATGTACAGATGGGACCACAAATTCGAACTTCGCGAATCAAGACAGCTATTTCAGTTGTACCGATGTTCGTTCAACGCTGTCTGCTCGGAATGGAAGGAGTTTCGAAATCAGTACATGCGCAGGATTCGTTCTGTTAGCGTCTCTGTACCATCAAATCTAGAGACCGAGACTGATACTAATGCCGTCTTGACATTACTAGAGCATAAGTATCGTGTGACACAGAACGCAGCTGACTATGCTGCTTCCCAACTTGCTTCTGGAAGTGAAGCATTCAGAACCGATCGAATTCCAATCACAGCAATAGCTGTGAGTTCCGGTGCTAAAGATCCTGGAGTGTTTGAGCTCAACTTATCTGGTCCCCGGTATATGCCATTCGAAGGCGCAGGTGCCATTTCAACATGGCGTCTCGAATTCCCGGCACCAATCCGTCATTTCAATTATGAGTCGATCACTGATGTGCAACTACACGTACAGTACACCGCTTATGAAGGAGGTCCAACCCTGAAAAAGGCGGCAAAGGATGCGGTTGTGCAAGCGGCTCAAACAATCGCGGCCCAAGGTCAACACCAAGGCTATTGGGCACTTTGGGACCTTAACGACTTCGCAGGAAAATGGTCAGATTTTGAAAAGACGCTCCTTACTCCCAACGTGGAAGCAGCCTTGGAACCCGGCAATTTGCAAGACAGTTTACCTTTCTGGTCACGACACCAAAAAGAACTCCAAGTTCAGTCCTTCACATTGATGTCGCGAAATAAGAATGTTAGGGACAGATTGAGTATACTGGTGGATCCAAATACACCTGCATACAATGGAACTGATGGTATCTACTTCGGTGATTTCTTTACCAGGCAATGCGAGATGACTGAGAAGAACTTAAATTGGAAACTTAAGGCAGGAGCAGTTCCGGTTGCAGCGGTCGCAAGCGAAAATGTTTATATGTTTGTTCGTTACATTTATGTTGGCAAGAACATTTCATAATTTGGGAAGTTTGTTTTAAACTCTCTGGGTATTCCCTTTTGTATTTCGAATACGAGAATGAAAATATTGCGATTGTTCCCTATGGAAATGTTTTGGAAAGTTGGATTATCGCGACTAATAAATAGTCACGTGATCGAGACACTCAGGTGTTCAGGCATGCCACATTACTACACTCAACAACTCACGGTCACGATTTATCTCAATTCCAATCATAACACATCGCATGTGTAATGCAAATAGAGTCTGAATCAAGGTAGCGAAGCTGCGGCTGAGCACGCGCGGGGGCAAGAGGGCGCGCTTCAGATACCCTCTCCTCCCCCCGCGGGCATCTTCAGTTCTCGAATATATAATTGCTAGTTATTCAATATCACTTCATGATACATAATTAGCTTACTTGAGCTTGGGTGTAGATTGTACTCTGAAAGGCTTTCAGTATTGTTATACTTCTTCGTATTAACATAGTAGTCTCATGCATGAAGACAAGAAGCAGAAGTAGTTATTGAATCCACAATATCCTCCATGCATTGCTTTCAAAAAACTCACATCCTAATGATTTGTGTCTACTTTCTCAATCTCTTCAACGGATGCGCCTCTGTATTCAGCACCCATTCATCCAGACTCACTACATCCCACTCGCTGAAAACCAAGTAGAAATACTTCAACGTTTCTGCTAGCCAGAAACTCTCCATACTATCTACCTGGTCCACTCCTTCCTCTTCACTTTTTCCACCCAAGTTATCCGCGAAACGCTCTGCTTGTTTCATATTTCCGTTCTTACTCTTCCCCCTCCCCTTCCCATCCACCACTGCCTTCACCGTAACATCCAGTATCGCCGCCGACGCAATCTCCGTTCTACAGATCTTCTCAATCGCCTGGAACATTCTCCAAGCGGCATCCATATATTTCCTATCCCCCGTAATTCTCCACAAAATCCACACACTCTCAATAGCCTCCGGTCTCAAAATATATCTTCGATCATCCACTGCCGTAAGCCCCGGACTCAATCTTCTATCGTCTATGATCCCAACCAATTTCTTCTCCGTCTCCTCTTTCGTGTTCGTAATTGGATGTGTGTATATAGCTGCGAGAGCATCATACCATTTCTGCTTCGAATACGTACAATCGTGATTTTTTGGGCACGGAACCACGCTGAAGATTTCAGGTGCAATGCCATTCGGACTATTATCGTATGCCCATATACATCCATTTGTGAGTTCTTCAGCTAAGGCAAGCTCGGAGGGGCGGTTGAAAATTTTCGATGCGATTCCAATCATGCCGCCAGTGAAACAGGTGAGATGTTGGCCACGAGGAATCAGCTCCGGAGTACTGCTTTCCGCCATACCTTTGATGCGTACGTCCCCTGATACTCTGATTTTCTGGTTCTTTTCATTTAGAATTGGAAAGAACATTGTCTCTTGGGCTACGGAAATGAAGCTTTCGTACATTTTCTTGGGTTGGTCAAGAACCCCCCCGAGAACCATGTATTGTTTTGGTAAATATTCATATGTTGAATCCGACATACCACCCATAGTAAACATGGTGTCTTCGTCAAATCGTAGCTCTTGAAGATCAATACTGACAGGCCATAATCCGGGATATCGAGTAGAGTTCTGAGTTTTCTCAAATTCGTCAGAGATACGTTGCACCGCATCATAGTATTTCGGATTTCCAGTCAACTGACTAAGTCTGGTGAACTCGAGACTTAAGGAACCTGGCTCAGAGACAAGAACTCTTCTAGGCGCCACTTGATCCTCTCCTTCTAGATACCTACGTATCGTCAATAGCTTTCTTGTCAGATGAGAGCAACAGCACCTACTTCTTCCAATCCCATCTAGGAATTGGCATTCTATTCGGGGTATCAAAACAACTCATCAACAACTCTGCAACCTCAACAGCCTTGAACAACAAAGCCGGGTATTGCGCTCCACTGATATCATACGCCGCCAAAAACCCACCCATGTATCTGATTGTCGTTTCAAAAACATTAATATCCTTTTGCTCCGTTGTCGTAAAATCGATTCTTTCGATTGATCGCACCGCGATTTCAAAATCTTCTTTTAAACCCATAATCCACAAAGTATCCAAAGAATCAACCAATGTTGCGGCCCAGCCACCAAAGGTGTCTTTCCAGGTCCCTGATAGAGGAGAAACCTCATCTCGTAACCATGCGTGCGCTTTATATCCCTCCCAACTGTGTACGAAGCTCTCTTTTACGGCCGCCAATCGCTTCAACCTCTCTTCCTTCTGCGCCGCATTCTCTTTTGGAGGTGCACTTTGAATCTGCGGGATCTTCTTCGGGTTTCCAGTTGGCAGAGGAATGTGTGAAGTTACTGGATATCGTTCTGGTAATTTCGACCAATGGGTTTTACCATCTGGCAGATGAGGTTTCCCTATCGAAGATAGATAAGTCGCGTCATAGCTCCAAGTATTGCGCCGTGAATGAAGGTAATGAAGACTAAAAATCATAAACACTGCAGCTATGAATGCTGTTCTCCATCTTCGAATGATTGATGGCATATCTATGTGTCACATCCCTTGGATGTTTGACCTGATTTCAATGATTGATTGCTTTGACAGCAGCTTTGTTCGTTGAAACTCCCCAGTTGATAGAATAACACCCCGTAGACTCCAAGAAAAGAACAATCAAGAAGCGGAATTTCAAGAACGAGAGAAGATATAAAAAGAAATGAAACTTATCATAAGAAAGAGGGCAAGCTAAACATCCAATTGATCTACATGCTGCCGAGGAATGTACCACTTGTACCACTTAGTTTCGTTCCCTCTGCTTCATGGCTAAAGAGTTGATGACTCGCCTAGAGAAAATAATTGAGCCCTGCGGTAAGGGATCGAAGCCAGAAATTAGCATCTCGGACCGACCGACTGGGTTTCTCCCCACTCCCCCAATCTGGTGTTTCACTACATATTCTACGTAGTATACAAAGTTGAAAAGAAGCATATGAAAGAAATCTACATCTTCATTAGGGGTAATCGCTTATGGTTACCAACATCTCATTCTGTTGGAGCAAGGTTACTATTCGAATTTCGGTACCGTGTGAATAGTTCCCTTTTAAGTTATATATTTCTGATAAGGTTACCCTTCCCTTCTTTCATTCTCCCTTCAACTGAAATCTAAATGGCTGTATCCACTTTCACCTGTGATATCATCAAGTTGATTACAAAGTACCACTAATGATGATCCACAGGTTTCCCCTGAAGATCTATCATGTCATATAGGTTACCAAGGCCACACACAATTTCAAGGGGAAAGAGGTACTAAGTCTACCACTCTCATCTCGATACCATGTTTGCTCGACACGAATCTCTAGGATATGAGACTGAAATTGGCTGATGGGCTCGATCTCAATGCTAGCCTTTGAGTATATTTATCACAGTTTACAGTTCACATGACTAATAATGTATCATGAAGACTCTGGTAAAGGGTATTAACAAGACAATAAGATGTCTGGTGGGTTATCATTGATCATGAAGTTCACTAAAAACGGCAACGCTCTACGTGCATGTCAACCAGTCCAGTCAGTCCTACGCCCACAAGAATTCTGGATGTCCAAAAGACCCGTGATGTGTACGCCGGCTATTCTCCCTCCCAGCAACAAAAGACCACGCAAAAAAAGCAAGCTCGATTACTTTTGCATCATAAGTTGTACAAATTCGTTGTCTGTAAATGATCATTAGCATCTGAACTTTGAGAGAAATCGTTGGTGAAGGGGCACATACAGTCGATTCTTCCATCACCATCTTGATCAGCCTCTCTAATCATCTCATCAACCTCGTCATCAGTCAACTTCTCTCCGATGGAGGTCATGACATGGCGAAGTTCAGCGGCGGAGATGAAACCGTTGTTGTCACGATCGAAGACCTATACCAAAGACATGTCAGCCTCTGCCATAGTAAATGACTTATGGAATTCCAACCTTGAATGCTTCACGGATCTCCTCCTCAGAGTCGGTATCCTTCATCTTTCTTGCCATCATAGTAAGAAATTCTAATCGCATCAGAGTTTTGAGTCATGAGCTTAATTGTGTTGCGCCATACCTGGGAAATCAATGGTACCGTTGTTGTCAGCATCGACCTCGTTGATCATGTCTTGCAACTCGGACTCGGAAGGGTTTTGACCAAGGGATCGCATGACGGTTCCCAATTCCTTGCTAGTGATTTGTCCTGTAGATCCATATATCAGTGTTGTCCTTCTATATTGTTTGGCCAATCTGTGTCGTTGTCCCCATTGCCGGTACTATTGTTCGAGATAGGGGCTGGGTTGGTCGAGAGGGCAAGTATGTGAACACAGGGGGGATTCTCGAGATCTGCAATGTCAAAGGAAAAATTTGGAAGTACGAACCATCGCCATTCTTGTCCTGTAAAGTCACAGCTTATTAGCCTTCAAAACTTCAAACATGCCCTGCCAAGTGTCCATAGGGCTGAGAGTATCCAGATGGGAATATTAACGTACAAAGAGGGAGAAGGCCTCCTTGAACTCGGAGACTTGCTCTTCAGTAAGAGAATCGGCCTGCATGAATGCGCATGTTAGTTGCGATCTCTATATCCTCCATCATCCTATCCTTTCCCTCCAACTCGAAGCTACAGCTTCACGTCGAGTGCTGAAAACCGCGGGGTTGTTCAAGGCTCCAGCCTTCTTAGGATAGGGAAACAAACCATTGTTGAGTATTTGATTGAAAGTAAGTAAAAATGACTTTTTGGTTGGAAGGATTTCTAAGGTATATGGAGAACAGGAAGAAAGGTTGTAAGGTTGAAATAAGGAAGATCTTGTTGTTGTTGTGGGTTGTGATTGCGATTCAACTGTTCAGATGCCTTGATGCGGTGAAGCATAGATACCATAATGGTCACAGGTAGTGGCTGTACGGCGGCCGAGTGACATAAAAGGTCTGGGATCTGGGATTCCTCAGGCGAAGAGGTCGAAGCTGGGGAGAGCTTGGAATCATCAAAACAAGACAAACATGCGACATTCAATAACAAACTCCAATACAAATTACAATTCTTGGAGTTTCTATGTGAAATTCTTCCTCTACTATATCTTGTGATACTGTAGAATTCATTTCAAATCGCCATGTGGCGTGATCGTACAAATCTGTATGTTCAAAGTGCTGTTATCCCTTTCACAAGCTTAGATAGATACTGACACCTAATCTATCAGCTATATCTCCTATCGACAATCATATGCACATCACCCCGCAAAGAAACCAAAATATACAAGCTCTTCTGGCAATGGATATTCGGATAGTATTGGAGGAGCTTCGGAGGAACGCAGAGGACTTATGTCCGCTGGCGCATTCGAAGATGATGGCGATGCGATAATAGAAATGGATTTACTACCACCGAGATGGGCAGATATCAGCGACGAAGTTACAGAATATCTTACGGATATCGCAAATAAGAGCCAAAAACTGGAGAAATTGCATCAAAAACATGTACTGCCAGGATTCGATGATGAAGAAGTTAAGAAGAAGGAAGAAAGGGAGATTGAACTATTGACACAACAAATTACCAAGGGATTTCACGATTGTCAGAGGTCAATTCAGAGAGTAGAACAAATTGTTCGTGACTCGCGGCATCAAGGAGGCATAAGTAAAGGAGAGGAAACTATGGCAAGGAATATCCAGATTTCACTCGCATCGAGGGTACAAGAAGCAAGTGCAGGATTCAGGAAAAAGCAAAGTACCTATTTGAAGAGTGAGTTTTGTACTGCATGACTGAATTCGCTGCGTTAAGATGGTAAATTATTTATACTGACCAATCTTCAGAGTTACGAGGCTTAGGAGGTATGAATGCACCTATCGAACGAACATCTACCCCTCTTTACAGTAATTATATCGACCCCTCCATCATGGAATCCGACGCCGATAAATCATTCTCCCAAGCAACCCTTCAACAAACCTCTCAAAAACAACTCACGTCCAATGATGCAGCCATCATGCAACGAGAACGTGAAATCAATGATATCGCGCAAGGTATTATCGAACTCGCCGACATTTTTAAAGAACTTCAGACTATGATTATAGATCAAGGAACAATGCTAGATCGCATAGACTACAACGTGGAAAGAATGGCAGTAGACGTCAAGGCTGCAAATGTGGAATTAAAAGTTGCAAGCGGATACCAAAGAAAAGGAACGAAGAGGCGAATCATTTTGTTATTGATCCTACTAGTTGTAGGTATGTTTATTTTGTTATTGGTAAAACCAAAGAAGCATAGAGGAGAGGTAGAGGAAAGTGTACCACCACCATCACCACCTTAATAATGATACCTTTTTTTCGAGATGGATTGCATAGGTTTGGGTGGAGATATATTGTTATATACCCGTAATACTTCACAAGGTGTGCCCCTGTTCGACGTGCGCAAATCATTCCCAAATTATCCATCATTGTGTTGGAGTTGAAATATGAGTGATATGTGTTCAACATGCTCGGAATCTATTTCGTCGCTAGACCATATCATATTCATCCTTTTTCCCATTCCCAAAATCATGCTAGTTACTACACAGCCAGCCTCGCCATTATCAACGTAAACTAGCAGATGCGTAAACTCAACCTCTTCTCATGATTAAATCGCAACATTGACCGCCACATAACTAACAACTTTATGTACTTACTATCCTCCCTTTTCTACCTTCTATCTCATCCAAATAGCATCGAATATCATCATACAGTGCAGATACATAGTATGGGTTAACTATATCATCCAACCCCACATCGCTTATACAGGGGCTTTCCCCCTTTTCACTTCCCCGCTCCGCTCCGCTCTCCACTTTACCTTTACTTCTCTTTCCTCTCACTTCTGGTTTTGAAAGAATGCTTGTGGTTATGGATATCGCGTTCATGGATGTATGTGGGGAAATTGAGAGGAAATGATAAGAGTTGTATTTAGAGGGTGAGAGTGAGGAGAGTGGGGCTGTTGTTATGCTGTGTTGATGGGATATGAGGATGAGGGAGTGATTATAGTGTAAAAGAGAGAAGGGGAGTTGATGTGCAGAATGAGAAACTATCTCTGTCGCTGAGACAAAATGTTCTCAAACAGTAGAAAATACGTAAAATCACATTTTTTTTTTATAGATACTCGGACCGCAAAGTCATTCGACGTTGTTAAGTACCTACATATCATCGTTATAGTATAAAGTATTCCTCGCTTAACGTTATAATGATTATACACCACACCATACAACAGATTGAGAATACCTCGGAGTCATCATGCGTTCATCAATTCAGAACAAAATATGATTTATGATGAATATACCTACTAGGTAAGTAGTTCTCTAGCCAACAAACAATTCAATCACCATCAACAAACCCAGCGCCAAAAGTTTCACCCATCTCCATAGCATCCTAAGCGCGACCTAGTAATCCAACGCATTCTCATACTAAAATCCTAAGACTGAAGAGTAACAGAAATACCCGCTGTGGCGGCAAAGTTAACAAGTGGGTAATAAACCACGTAAATTGTCAATTCTGGAGAATTGTTGCGATGTTGCCAGAAGAAGTAATGTGTTTATAGTTGTCATCTTGATGTAAAAATTATCGTGTAAAGGGGGATTGGTGGTTAAAAATTAGCCATGATAGAAATCACTGATCTTTTAAACGACCAACGCGAGGAATTATTTCACGTGAAACATTACAAAATAGTACAACCGAATCCAGCCAGAGACTCTCCCCTCCCAGACCATCACGTACGAAATCCACAAGCCTCAAGCAAGATTTGTCTCACTTTAACAAACACTCTCTCTCGCGATAGAGCTTTCTTTTGCGAAATGAATTACAATTTTATTTTTTTGCCAAGGTGTTTGTGTCCCTGTGACCACTTCTTATGTGCTAGCGTAAAGTCTATGTTCCGTGGATCGGTGTCATAGTGAGTAGTCAAGAATATTTTGTTTACTTCTGAATTTTGGAGTTCTTGAGCTCATATATTTTGGGTTGCTGCAGCTGGGAGTGAGGTGATGATTTTGTTGGAAGGATTCTCCGGGGATAGGTATTTATCTTGAGATTATTATTCAGAAGAGGAGGCTCAAAATTCAGAAGATAGGGAAAAAGTGGAACTATGGGTGAGGAGAAGAGGTATCAATTGAGTCGGGGCGTGAAGGGGAGAGATGAAGCTGGTGAGGAAAATAGAGAGAGGAGAGGACGAGATAGACATGGAGATGAAGGAAGATGTGTAGATGAGGGGAAGGCAGAAGTACGGACAAGTTCAGTCAACCCGGAATCACGAAGAGGTGTTAGACGGAATTCACAATCTGTTAAGATTGGACGTGATAGGCCTCAGTCTAACGTTGAAAACGGTCGCAATCGAGGTCACAGAGATGGTAGCAGCAGGTCATCTGCCCCCGTTTCCGATCACGACAGCAGACATTCCATCCGACGGGTTGAGGGACCACCTACCACTACTGTCGACAATCCCTTACTACCAATCAAAAGAAGAGATCACAGTAGCAACAGAGGTGCAAGCGGAAGTGATAGAAAATCTAACACCTATCCACCTCATCCCAGTCGCCATAAAAATCCCGATGGAAAACGTGGGAGAGATTCCAATAATCATGTGTCCAAAGACACACTTACGAAAATTAAAAGCGACATCGTAACGGTGCCTCTCCCCAATCGCAGCAATCAATCTCAAGATCAAAGACCAGGCAGAAGAGACCCATCTATCAATCGCGAAATAGAAAAGCTTAAACTAGCTGATTCGAAAGGATCAAAGGCTGCGACTACAGATAATCGCGAAAAACGAAGCAATAATGAGCCTGCTCTTAAGATACCTGCAAGTGTTCCGCGTAGCAAGGTGAAAATTGGGATTCTTCCAAAATGTTATCAACCTTGTAAAGACGAAGAGACTCGGCGAGTAATCGTTTTTGGGGATGTACACGGGATGCCTGATGCCAAGAACCGTCTCTTGGAATATATTAAGTATGATCCAGCGTTAGATCATCAGATATTCAGCGGTGATATGATAACCAAAGGGAGAAAAAGTAATCCGAGCAAGAGTGCTACGACTGAAGGATTGATAACCATCGAGGCTTCTAAAGATGTCGTGCGTGAGGCTAGAAGAGATGGAGCTTCAGGAGTTCGCGGTAACCATGAAGACTGCGTACTAAATGTCAAACATGAAAGAAAGGGTTGGCAAGAATCGACCGACCGCAAATTGGATAATCAGTTCGATATCCAAGTGAGAAAAAAGTTGAGGACACCAGATCATAGGGATACCAGCGACTATGACCTATATGATGCGCTTACTACAGAAGAGAGACGCTGGCTTGAAGATCTTCCTGAAATTCTAGTCCTGGGAAAATGTGGTGGGCATAACAACATGGTTGTTGTACACGCTGGATTGAATCCATTTTTCGAGCTGAGGGATCAACAAATCATAGAGACGATGAACATTAAATCTATAGATCCAGTGAAAGGATATACTAGTTCGATGCATGCGGGAGACAAGGAGATCAAAGCCTTGGATAAGGAAGACGAGAGACGTTTTAGCAAGATGATACCGTGGTTTGAGGTATGCCGACCAAGAATCCCGTTTGTAACGAACAATGCTAATCCTGATGAATATAGGTTTGGGAGGACAAGCAAAAGACAATGCCACTAAGCGAAAGAATGACAGTAATGTATGGCCATGAATCCAAGAAGGGCTTGACCAAAAGGAAATTTTCAATTGGTCTCGATACTGGTGCGCAACGTATAGACAAACTCAACCCTGATAAGTATCGGACTTTGACTGCCCTCCTTGTTTACTATGATAGATGTAGAATAGTTCAAGTGAAGGAGATCAAAAAAGAAACGGGGGAATGGGAATGGGAGCCAGCTGAGCTGACAAAGGAAGAATCTCATTTTTGAGGTGACATTGGTATTTTTTAATTTACATATAGTTTTATCATTCATACATGGCAGAATTTCGTTTTCAACATGGAGAATGTTCGTACAACATTGAGACTTCATCTTTCTAGGTGACAGTGTCACACTTGGGGGTCAAAATATTGATCTGTTCATTTATATTACACAAACAGTGCCACAACCTTGCATAGACGAATATAAATTTGCACAACAGACAGCCAATATTATAAACACGATTGCCCCCAAATGTCGTACCGTAAATTTCTTGTGAAGCAGTCTCTTTGCTGACAATGGGAAATCTCTGAATTTCTCACTCGAGACTTGTAACATAAAGCATGCAAAACATACCTGCATAGCATGAGAATTTGATCACCTTATGCGGTCTAATGTGGTTTTTCTTGAAGATTCTAGAAGTCCATCACGACTTTGCCATATCTCCTTTCGAAATGCCATCATCTCCTCAGAAGTGAACTGTCCAGTTCCTTGGCCATACAATGTAGCTTTCATCTGACGATAAGCGAGAATCCCGATTAGAACACGCATAGGATAAGGGATGGGTCCTGAAACTTTATCTCTTTGAATCTAATACTTATCCATCTGCCGCTCTCGAATCTAGAGCCCGAAGCCAATTAGAATATACCACAACCTGACGAGGAAACATACTTCACTTTCGTACTCACCCCATAGAATTATAGCTTGTCCTCAAGAAGAGCACGAATCGCCATATCTTGAGTTTTTGCTGCTGGCTCCAATGATGAGTTGAGATCGGGTAGAATATCTGATTCCACTAAGGCTGCTGTAACGAGTGCGGAATGGGCAAGCAGAAAAGGAGACGACCCCTCATCGTGTACTGAGATATATGGTATCTTCCCTTTTGGTGCTGATCGGGGGGAGCCGCCGTCTAGGATGTACTTCACGTTGGCTTGGCGGAAGTGAAATTCAATTTTGGTAACAAATGGAGACCTTACATAGTATCCTGTATCTTGCCAGCCACGGAAGAGAGTGATTTTCATGATGGGTAAGGAGGTAGCTACGGGTCATAAACGATCGAGAGAACTGGAGATTTGAGAAATCCTATGAAAGTCTGATTGAAGAAAGGTGTGAAGAACTCGCAGAGTGATTTCATGCTACAAATTCTCTGATGGTGATATCATGGTTGTACCAACAGTTGGAGTAACGTAAACACAGGGGATTCGAGTCGTGGTCTGACCAACCAATTTTGTGCCTGTTTTCATTGATGACCAGAAGTATCATGAGAAATGATACTTGTTGTCCACCTCTGTCTATATTTTACTATAAACAGATCATTTGAGTGCTACCTCTTTGAAGATCATCTTGATAGGTGAAAGAAGTTACCTTTGATGGCTTTATGCTCACTCTTTTAGATCTTTCATATATCAACGAGTTTGATGTTCGGAAGTCGGAGACTCGGATAAATTACTCTCGGAGCACGGGGGTTGCCGAGACAGATTATGATAATCATCACCTTCATTGGACTCAATACTCTGAGCACATGGCAAACATTCATCAAAGGTTTCACAATTAACTTCTACGAGTGAATCACACGTGTGGATATCGCCGATATCACAGAAAGGGACAAATTAGATATGAGATGAGGTTTAGTATTTTTCGCACCCTTCAATAAACTTCAATCCGAACAACCTCCTTGCGTGGATTGCTAGTTAATCTCTGATCAACCCAACAATCATTCAAATGAGTAATTCAATCGATAATCGAACGGCGGTCGACCGTCTACGAGCGTTGTTTAGCAATCCCAATCCTAGACCCGAATATGAACCTATCTCGAGCAGTTCCAGTATTCACGAAGACGATGTACGCAGACCAGTCCTCGTCTTAGCAGATCAAGTCGAAACTGAGCCGTTCTCATGGTTTGAATATGGAATCTTTATGTTAATCGGAGTTGCAATGCTTTGGGCGTGGTATGTTCCACTGACGTCTCGGGAGGGCGCAGAAGCTGATATCTTGACAGGAATATGTTCTTAGCAGCCGCGCCATACTTCCAGAGCCGATTCCAAGACAGTGAGAGTATCCTTCAACATTTCCAATCTGCGATTACATCAGTTGCAACAATTACGAACCTTGGCTCGATGCTACTCCTAAGTCACCTACAATCAAACGCCTCTTACCCAAAACGTATCATAGCCTCCCTCGTCCTCAATACTATCGTCTTCACGCTGCTTGCGATATCCACCTCATACTTTCGCGACGTTTCGTCGAGTGGCTATCTTACTTTCACATTGATAATGGTATTCGCGACCTCCTGTGCAACTGGGCTTCTACAAAATGGGGCATTCGCTTTCGCATCAAGCTTCGGCCGACCAGAATACATACAGGCTATTATGACGGGACAAGCAATCGCCGGAGTCCTGCCATCAGCTGCACAAATTGCCACCGTTTTAGCTGTTCCGCCACCCGACCATTGGGCTGATGTAGATGCGGAGAGTGCAGATGTGAAGGAAAACACAACTTCGGCTTTTGTTTATTTCTTGACGGCTACAGTCATCAGTGTTCTAACATTAATCTTTGTCTTCCCCTTACTTCGAAAACAGAACCGAATCCTCGAGAGTCGCGCGGCGTCATCAGCTGACAGTGACGAAGAGACTGACGAAAATACTAAACACGAGGTCGTTGGTATGGTTAGACTATTCAAGAAACTTCACTGGCTTGCAGGAGGAGTATTCATGTGTTTCGCTGTTACAATGTTCTTCCCGGTGTTCACATCAAAGGTTGTCTCGGTAAGGCCAGCCGATGGAGCCCCTCGAATACTTCAACCCGAAGCTTTCATCCCTCTAGGATTTCTGGTTTGGAATATCGGCGATCTTTGTGGCCGTCTGCTTCCACTTCTACCTTTCCACACCAAGGCACGACCTATTCCGCTTTTCGTATTCTCTATCCTTCGAATTGGCTTTGTCCCGTTGTACCTTCTCTGTAACATCGAAGGCAAGGGAGCAAAGGTCAATAGCGATGTGTTCTACCTTCTCGTTGTTCAGGCTGGATTTGGGCTTAGTAATGGCTGGCTTGGCAGTTCTTGCATGATGGCAGCCGCTGATTATGTTAATGAAGAAGAACGAGAAGCAAGTGGGTCTTTCATGATGACCAACTTGGTTGCTGGTTTGATGGCTGGATCTCTACTCAGCTTTGCTGTAGCCGGAATTTCCTAGTTCATCGACTTATACTTATATAAGCATTGGTTTGTATCTATGGGATGGAGTTTAGAGCGATATCATGCATGGCCTGGCGTTGGTAACTACTTCACTAATGATTGAGACGAAGATTGTCGATATGGGAGGGAAGTCTTGACTTTAAGCTTGCATAAGAACAGCGAGAGAATTTCGCATTAACATTCTACGGGTCATACATGATTTTGTTCTGATGTGAGATGATTGTGCTAATATCTTGTAAAGTGACAATGAGACGGTGATAAAGTCTCTGGTCAGTTCAGTCCCATATGTATATATCTCTGACTAGTGCTTAAACTCTGTTAACTCTACATATATGACCTTCGAGAAGTACCTAAGCAAGTATAGACCTTCACTGCTCGAGTCCTTCTCCTTGATTAAAGTAAGACATTCCCCTCAACCATCTTTTATTCAGCTTTGACCTCTTCAGATATAATGGGAAGAGATTGGGTTCATGAGTCTATAGTGAGAAGACTTCCATCTCTCCAAGGTAACCCATAATCTTCCTTCCTTCTTTTCCTTGCGGAACTTTAAAAAGTGGTCTCTTCTTTCTTCTGAAAGTCGCTGGCTCGCACCTTCCACGTAGGGAATTATAGCAACAATAATTGATAGGTAGTAGGATTTGTTGAGAGATTTCTTCCTCAACCTGAGATTCACCGGCAAGACCTTTCCTCGTGCTCACCTCTCACTCCCTCTTTTCTCAACAAGCTGTTGCACAAGATTCAGTCAAGCAATAAATTGAATTATTTTTCCGTACTAGGACCAACGTTGGTAACTTCGCCCGCTATATCTACTTGCTCTCTATTTCACCTCGACAACTTAGCTTCCGAGGTTTTAAATTGTCTACTTCGATCTGCCAATTTACAGTTATTTCAAGTCTCTCGATTCCCATTGAGACCTACTTCATGTACGAAGGATCGATCTACCTGAAAGTATTTGACAGAGACTTTGGCAGCACTGCCCGATCACACAGCAGCTGATTGTAGACAGACCTCTATATTCGCAACAAGACTTTGATTGACATGCCATCCGATTCCATGCTATAGCAACAATTATATCCGTCCTTTTTCAAATATCGAGTTCAATTGAAGATCTCCTGAGTCTCGGTCTTGATGTATCAAGGTCAGTAATTTTCAAAATTTCGAAGAAATGTTACCCCCTCGGGTAAAATCCTTCCACATTTTTGTGCAATCGAGGCTTGGTACTACTTTATTGTAGATGCTAACACACGACTACAGATTATACGATCCATCTAGCGTAATTCTGAACTGCTTGTTGCGGAGACTTCTCAATATCCATTTCCATTGCTTGACACTTTGAGGATATTCGAAGAAGGGCCTTGATCTGTTTGATTGCTCACAATGAATTTCGGTTCCCACTATAACTTGATACTTGAAGAGAAACACTATTTTGAATAGTATTGCGAGGCATATAATTTTCTGCCCAGTTAGCCTCACCACCTTTCGCACGTTGGAGATCTTCGAGATATCACACTATCAACCGTTTTACTTTCGCGCATAAATTTTTACGCCAGATACTAACTTGCTATTTTCTGCCTCAAAATTCATTCAGAGTCTTCTACTTGAGTATCCTAGTTCTAAATTCACTGCATTTATTCTCGCATACACAAAATATCCCTTTTGATCAAGCAATTCTACTCAAAAGTGGAAACCACTTCTTGCGCTGCCTCATTTTACATTGGATTATAACTTCAACCTTACGACGACAAGAATCCTCCAACATTCCATCATGGCCGACGACTCTAATGATGATCACAAATCTGAGCGCGAAGGCGATGGCCTTTTGGCTTCAGTATCGCCGTCGCCAACCAATCTTGATGTCAGTAATTTTCAATGTTCGCATCCAGATTGTGGCAAATCATATGCTTCCAAGCATGGACTTGACAATCATAGTAGAGTCCATTTTACTGATAACGAAAAGCCATTTGCCTGTCCTCATCCAGGATGCCTATCAAGATATACAAACAAGAGAGGAGTTACCCGTCACTTCAATCTCAAACACAAAGACAAAAGTGACTGGTTCAATTGTCCTACCGCAGAGTGTGATTCTTCTTTTTTTGACGAAAGACAGCTCAAGTTGCATCAAAGAGAACATGGGGTCTTTCGCTGTACTGCAAGACACTGTGCTTATGAGTATACCACTGAGCAAGAGTTATATGAACATAGAGAGGTAAAATTTCATTACAGAGATTCAAACATTCAAGCACACTTAATCACTAACACATCTCAAAGCGTAACCATACAACATCTGACCTATATGAAGATCGTGCTGGTAAACGACCACCAGGAGTATCCGAAAAAGAAGACTTATCTGCACAAGTTTCCAGCGGTGAAGAGACCGGAGATGAGATCGTTGTTGATGAAAAGTCATCACCAGCGAAATTCTGCGGAGATGAAGATAACTTTGAGAATAGTTCCCCTTTCACAGCGCCTATACACGGGAAGAGTAGTAGAAGAGGCATTACAAATAGAGTCTCGTTGAAACCGGAGGAGTATCCTGCAAGACCTAACCGCAAAGGCTGGAAATGTCCCAAACCTGGTTGCACAGTCTGTCGCAAAGTACAATTTGATCTTATTACTCATTGGCAGGTATGCAATTCTTATTAATCTCTTCAATCTCTACATGAAATGGATTCATTGATCTCCTCTTCTTTGATACGACATACAAACTCTTTCATTTCAGTATGGCAATCAAGCATCTATTGACTGTACTACTTTGTTAGGAGGCACACAGTGGCATACCAGAGCCAGCTCATTTTGAATTTGTCCATGGTCCGAAGTCATCCGAGAATACTGCCACACCTAAATTTGAGGCCAAAGACCATCGGCTCGGAGGTAAGCCTTATCATTTCGTTTGATTATACAGCTGGTTATATTATATGCTAGCTTCTTTACCGCTCCCCACTCTCATTGTTCCTTCTTCTCTTAAACAACGACACCATTTCCATCCCCCTTCCTACTTCAATACTTTTGTTTTTACTATTGTTCATAATAGACTACAAATATGGTTGATATAAAGGAAGACAGCAGTGATGAATACAGTCACTCACAGTCTCATGCAAATGTAGGACAGTCCACTTCTGCTCGTCAGCCAGCTCCTCAACCCGACCAAGAAGGAGCAAGTCAAAGCAATGCCAACGATGGTACCCAAGGACCAAACTCTCAGCAACGTGGAGGGAAGGATGCCAATACTTCAGGAAATAAGGTATGTTTGAACATTTCTTTGTTTTCAATTTATAAACAGTTGTAAAAATTTGTTTGTTGATTCCTTCAATCGATTTCGGACATTCAATCTTGTATGTTGATTGAACAGGGGATGGACAATAGCAGAACTGTGATTATTTCATCCGTTTTCATTCATTCATTTGTCAAGTATCTTGTCTTATAACCTTCCATCTTTACAACTTGTTCTCTCTCCCAAAAACATCTTTCACAGCAGTATAGACTAATTCAACGCTTACAGAATACAAATATGAATGGCTTAAATGAACCAAATGCTTCCGCATCAACCCCTTCTATCGCTTCTTCTCGTTCTCCTGCTACAACAAATACTCAGGGTCGCACTCCAAGATCTAACAATGGTCCTCCCATTATTCCCCCTCCACGTCATGCACCTAATACCGCACGTCCAACCACCAACGTCTTGGCTAACTCTCCTGGTAATCCCTCTAGACCAGATGAAAGCCCTTCGATCCGCAATCCACGTAAGAAGGCAACAATTGGTCATCCAACTCAGAGGATTCATGCTCGTGCAACGGAAACCCGCCGTATGAGTCCTCCTCCTGCTAGGAGTAATCAAGCTACGAAGTCTGGTGTCCCATTGATCAATACTAAATTGCCTCCCCCAAGAAGATCTCAAGTCTCTTCCCCCGATTTTTCCCGTCGCTCCTCTTCTGTGAGCTCTGACGAAGAAGAGGAGGAGGAGGGTCTCTTCGTCTCACCACCCGAAGCCACCAAGAATCAAACCAAAGGCCCTCGCCGCGTATTGGGTGTCCGAGGCTTTGCCAATATGCCGTTGCCTAGAGATCAAGATTCTGATGAGGAAGATCTTAGACCAAGCCATGTCTTGAGACAAGAACGTCGTGCTGCTGCTGGCAAGCCAGCGAAGCCTGACCGTTCCCGAGAATTTCTTGGTTCGGGTAGGAAAATCTTCGGTCAACCTAGGAAGATGGGAGAATCTACCAGGCCTTTTGCAGCCCGATCAACTGATTCAGATGATGATTCGAATTTCGAGGGCAGCGAATTGAGTGTAAGCTGATTATCTCATTCTATTGTGTTTATGTGGTCAGATGGATATACTAACAAACAACAGTCATCAGGTAGCTCTTTTGGAGAAACAGAAACTGCCCGCGCCGATCGTCGTTCAACGAACCATGTCAGCGCACGTGCTTCCAACTCCGTTCCTCGTCGCCCCTCTATCAACGACAGAGATCCTCCCAGAACCCCTTCTCCTGATCTCCCTAGATATCAAGCTTATGAAGTTTATGGCCCCGACCTCGACTCTCCACCCCCATCCTACCTCGTCAAATCTCCTGGTGTTATCGACCGCACTCTTACATACCCCAGTCGTCCAGACGACAAGACACTCCCTGATGTTGCTGCAGTTCAACCCGACGACCTCTTCGATGCCGATGACATCTTCTTCAGCTTCAAAGACATGAATCCACACGAAAGAGGGGTACAAGACCGTCTGGATGCAGAGAAAGAAGCTCTGAGAGCAAATGCATACGGCTCCGGATTTCGCGCTCCATTGCATTTTGATCATTGTCCCTACACAGCTCCGATCTGTCGTGCTGAGCAGCCAGCTTGGATCGCGGAGAGATTGCGTCTTGATATTGCGGAAGCTCGGGGTGATGAATCTGAAGATTCTGAGACACAGCTAGGGATAGATCGTGATGATGATCGTCGCTCTGGTGTTGACGTAGAATTGACTGGTACCGGTACTTCTGCTTTATCATCAAAGAAGAAGAAAGCCACCTGCTCCGGTCCGATTCGCGAAAAGAGAAAGTATAATTGGCGTGATCCAGTTAGGAAGAATAAGCGTCGCAGGGGTAGTTTTCCTGGCAGTGCATCTCGTCGTTCCAGTAATCGCCGTTCCAGTGGAAACTCTCAAATTGATGGTGCCGACGAACAGGAAGAGGTAGTTGCCAAAAACCAAAAACCAAAAATCAATCTGGGCATGGAGTGAGGAGCATGGAGCTGTGATCAATACACGCAAGTCTGGTGAATTGGTTCATCCGGGTGCTTTAGCTGCTGAAGATGGCGTTGTAGTTCCTGGTCCTGTTGATCGTGCTTCCGCTGCCCCTTCTGTTGGCTCGGATAACTTGATTGCTTCGGGTGCTCCCGCTGCTGCAGTTGGTAATGCTGAGAACAAGATTGTCCTTAGTGATGGATAAATGGAGGCCTCACTCAATGAATCGTGAATTTAGTTTAGTTTTCGGGATGTTTAATGGGTGGGCAAATTTATGGTGGCTTAGTTCGTGGGTGATGCCATTTGCTGGGGAGTTGATATCAAGTCTGTTAAGGCGCTGGGAGTGGATGGCCGCTGTTATTTCTGGGAGTTGGCATGTTGAAAAGATCATCATCAAAAATGGCAGATCTAATCGAGATAAGTTTCATATATGATGCATAGCTGAGGATACTTTTCATACATCATGGATAGCTGAGATACCTCCACGCATAACTTGAAATAGTTCAATTAGTTAGCAGTGATCTGAAACTGTGTTATATTTAATGCTTGAGGTTTTTGAATGACTGGTACTGTGGAAGGAATTGTGTAAGTGATTGATGTGTGTTGATAATTGAGAGTGACTTTTTGAATGGGTGTGATGTAATGAATCAGATTGTATGTAGTCATTCAGATGATTAGGAGTAGTGGAGATGCGAGATGGAGTGGGCGATTACAGAAGAAGGAACGTTGGAAAGGTGTTGGAAATCAAAACTCAATTCAATTTACTAACTTAACGATAAGTATCAGAAAGTTGGAGATATAGAGAGGATCGGGAAGGGGGAGTAGAGTAGCGTGGATTGGAAGGCGGAAGTGAGATGGAAATGGTAACGTAGTATTAGGGGAGTACATGGGTGATGGGTGATGGGTTATGAATCATGATTAATAGTTCATGATATAATGGATGTTGGAAGTTGGAAGGCTTTTTGGGATAATTCCACTTAGAATGTCGCTTCGTTGCAATGTTTAGAGGAGTATCGATGATTGATATAAGACGGCTAGCCATGATGAGAAGAATTAATCGCTCGCTATGGGAGCGCAGGCAAGTGTTGTGGATAGTGGATGATGTGATTTTAACCATCATCTCATCTTGAAATTTGAAAGATAATAAGTAGATACCTAGAAAATCCTCAGAACCAACATAAAGAAATCCCCAAAACCCCATCAACACCACATCATCCCTACCCTCAAACCCCCAACTGAGAATCCGACACATAATGAGTTCCCCCCGCACACCTATACCCACCCGCCTGTTTGATCCACTGAAACCCCATGACACATACCCCCAAATTTCTCAATTTCTCCTGCGCTTGCGCCTCCTTCTTTCTCCTCAACTCCTCTTGCAATCTTCTCCGCTCTCGTTCCCGCTCCATACGTTCTCTCTCCGCCTGAATTTTTAACGCATGAAGTCGCGCTTCCTCGCGCAGCCGAAGTTGTTCCTTCCATTCGGCTTCATTTTTTGCTTGGATTGCTCGCAGGGCTTCTTCTCTGGCTTTGCGCTCAGCGGCTTGGAGGGCGCGGAGTTCTTCTTGTTTTTTGCGCATTCCGTCTGCGTAGCGTTGGGCTTTCTCCTCGGCTGCTTTTTTGTCCCGTTGGAGTTGAGCCCATATCGCGTCGGAAACACCCGCATCGCGAACATCGTCGGTATCCGGTTCGTCATCTTCGGATAATGGCTTTGGGGGCTCATCATCAAGCTTGTCATTACATGCACTTTTAGTCGCGGTAGAAGTATTGACGGAAGTTGAAGGGGGAGCAGGCGGTTGTTGAATATTGCTCATGACTGGTGCATCTTTGGACAAGTTATATCTTGGTTTTCCTTGCACGTGGGCCCTGTCTTTTTTGCTATCAATCATGTCTTGAATACAAGCCATAGCATCATCGTATGACAGGTTGATGCTAGGGTTGTTAGATGTAGTATTCGTGGTAGATTGGTAGAATGCACGTGTCATGCTCTTGGCGAGTGTGATCATATCTCTCGCGTTACCCCAAGCAGGCAACTTAGAAAGCTCTGCAATTAAATCTAAGAAAGGCTGGTGACTGGTAATATCTTTCAACCCGTAGATGGAGATATTCTCCGTTTCCAAGGCATTTTGTAGAACGAGAAGAGAATCCTTGGGGGTAAGAGCCGGAAAATTGATCTCATCAGCGAAACGGCTATTCAAGCCTTCATTTTTGGTAAGCAGCGTGTTCATATCCTTTTCATATCCTGCAAGAATTATGATCATTTTACCCGCAAACTTTGGTTTAGTCATGGACTAGAATAATCAAGAGTTAGTGATTGCACAGAAAAAAGCTTGTTAGCTTTACGGATAGAAATAGAAATGTTTGAAGTAACAACAGAGGATGCACTAAGCATGCTAGGTCGGACTCATCATTGGAGTGATTTAGGCTCAGAATGAATAGTAACCCACATCAACTAATTCATCAATAGCTTCTTGGGAGAAATTTCCTTGCCCAAGTCGATATGCTTCGTCAATGAAGAGAACTTTCCCCAAGCCAAGCTCAAGTTGTTGAATTGTTTTGGGGCCAGTCTGCCCAATATATTGACCAACAAGGTCTGACGCGGAACATTCAACAACTTTTACCTCCGATAGAAACCCTAAATCATAATAAACTTGGCCAATCTTCCGGGCAGTTGTGGTCTTCCCAGTTCCTGATATTTGCGTTAGCACATCTGGCTGCATTGGAGTTTGATAGAGTGTTCAATACCTGGCGGGCCTTTAAATATAAAATTCATTGGTATCTGGGACCGAGGATCTTTCCCAAGCTTTCTCATGCCTTTCGCCACTCTCACATATCCATCAAGCTTCGCAATGATAGTATCACATCCTATGATACCCTTGAAAAGTTCTTTCAGATTTGTCTCCGCACCGGATGCTCTATCAAAGTCTGGATCAAAGTCCTCTGGCTCAAACAAGAAATCGATGGATCGTTGACCAAAAGGCAATTTTGACTGTCGAGAAAGATAATTTTTCTTCGCCTTGGATATTAAATTCTCTACGTCACCCCCGTTTCCAAAATTAAGCCCATTTCGAGCTCGTGCGAGCAAATCTATGGCAACAGCTACTGCTTTTTGAGTTGCATCGAGTCCATATGCACTCAACTTCTGCTGTAGGATCTCTTCGAGCTCCTGATCACTGAAGTCGGCAAACTGAAAGCCATCGGCAGGAGGGAAGCGTCGAGTCAAGCCCGGGTTCACGTTCTGAAACATCTCAATCATTTTATCTTCGTAGCCTAGAAGTAATACACATCGGTCATCACCAGGTACGCTTTGTACTTCGGCAACAATCGTGTCTATCACTGCTGTTCTGTAAATATCAGAGCCTCCGCCTCCACCATGACTACCTTTAGAGCTAGGGTAAAGCATGTATGCTTCATCTATGATTAGAACCTTCCCAAGTGTAGTAGCAAGAATCTTTTTCGTGTTTTCCTCTGATTGTCCTATGTGACTGCCAATAAAGTCGGCTGGATTCTTTGTAACAACTATAAAATATTAGAAATACCGTCATAAAGTAAAAACGAATGTTTCACATGACTCAACAGTTTCGACTCATGTGAAAGTATGGTCCTACCTTCCCCGTTACTCAGAATTCCCAAATCTGAGAGAATACGGCCATATAGCTTGGCCACTGTTGTTTTACCAGTACCTGGAGAGCCAAGAAATACGCGATTCAATGATACCGCGATAATTGGCTTCTGTTGCAACTCTCGTTTGTAATTCGTCTTGATGATTTCGATTATGAATCTTACAGAGTCCTTGACGGATTTAAGACCAGTAAGGCTTTGAAGCTCATCCCATGCCTTGCATTTCAGAATAGCTTGAGATGGGTCTGGTCCTATCAGGTCTTCCTTGGTAATTAGATTGTCGTCTGGACCGAGGCCATCCCTGCGCTCTTTCGTCAAGCGATCTGCTTGGCGTTCACGAATCTGCGCGAACATGTTCTCTAGAGCTCGCGCATTCCCGAAGCCTTCTCTTCCTCTTCCCCTGCCGAGCCGTTGGACCGCAATTTGCATGTAAAGTCCATCTTGGCCATCTTCTATCATCATAGGAGATGGATAAAATTTATGGATCTGATATTGCAACATTTCAAGGAGCTCAGCATCGGTATAATCTTCAAAATGAAGCGTATACGGTAGACGAGATTGTAGACCGGGATTGTGCTCGAAGAACTTCTCCATCTGCTTACGATATCCGGCGAAGACGAAAACAACTTTGCCTACAAGATTTTCTATTTCTGTTAGAAGGTAGTCTAAAACTGTCTTACCACCGACGTTATGTCCTTCTGTCAATTGATAAGCTTCATCAATGAAATAAACTCCGCCCTGAGCACTGTGCAGAATGCCTAAATGCTTTTTGACATCATTTACCCCGCCATGTGCGAGATGGCTGCCAGTCGTTTCGACAAATTCATCACCAGGAAGAACTTGCAATGCTGTCAAGATCTTGGCGTAGAGTCTCGCTACTGTTGTTTTACCTGCTCAAAGTTAACAGGGACCTAAATTGAATATCGAGATCGAGTGGTGGGTTTCAAATTGTCCTTTGGCAGTTGTGTTTTACAAACAGCCCATGCAGGCCCATGTTCATATGAAGCTTTCGCATCAACGGCCGTGCTTGTGAAATATTTGGATCCGTTGAATCGTTGATTTCATCCGGACTGCAGAATCCACTCGGATCTTTCAGCTGCATTCAATAATACAGAGATTTTGGCATGTTGAATGAATTCGGTTTATTGAATTGGAATCGCAATCGATACTGCTGAAAACCCTTCGAATAAAAGGGCACTCACCTGTCCCAGGGTTACCCAGCAAAATTAAGCCCAACCTTTCCTTTTTTAGATCTGTCCCTTGGCGCTTAGAAGTCTCGACTTTTGCTTTAATTCGCAATACTTGAGACTTTACATCTTCAAGCCCAATCATCTCCATGATCTTGTCTATGGCCGGATTTATCGCATTCTCCTGGTCCTTTTGTCGTTGCCACTCGATCTTTGATGCAGAAGGTTTCTGGCCAACTAGCGTCTGGAGTTTCTTTGGAACATTCTTGCTTTTCTGGGGAGACTGTGGTTGAACTACATGGGGTTGCGGAGGTGTAGCACTCGAGGTACTAGTAGGTATTTCACTGGGAATGACGAGAGAAGAAGCAGTAGGAGCCGGTGCCTTACTCATGGTAGTAGATATCGAGTTATCTACTATCGGTGTCGATTGAATTCGAATTAGACGGTCTTTGAAGGCAGATAGATCCTTTCTCTTCTGTGCTAAAACTGCTTCCTGTTCTGATTTCAGCTGGGAGTCTTGGATCTCTTGTTGTACCCTATCGACATCCTTCTGGAGCTTTTCAAGTTCTTTTTGATGTTTTTGCTTCATCTCATCTCGTCGCAACTGCTCATCTAATTCTTTCTTTGCTTGTTTGGCAACATCTCGTTTTTGCTTTTCGCACTTGTGGCAGGATTTCAATGGAAGATTTTCATGACATTTCGATTTGATTGTATGTTCTTTGGGACACTTCTGCTGTAAAATCTCCGTACATAACATTTTAGAATGGTCGAAAACCTGATGGCATTTGCTAGGACAATTATGAGTTTTACAACTCAGTAGAGCACCACTGTAGGTTTTCGAATTAGCTCTTCCAATGTCCGCTTCAATTTATAAATTGGTGAGACTAACCAAGGCTCATTGCACCCGCCGTCTGAGCAATATTCTTCGAAATGTTCCGGTGTGGTCAGAGTTGCCGTTCGGTCAGGGTGATTCGCGCACTTTACAGGGAAGCCAGGATAAAAATGTCCTGAGCCTTTCAATAAGTCGAAGAAATTCTTCCATAAGACATTTCCTTTTCGAGAATGTATGAAGGTTTCAGAGTTACCAATCATAATCAACGCATTTCGAGCACGAGACACAAGAACGTTCAGGCGTTGAGGCTGCGACATAAAGCCAATGTCGTGTCTAGAGTTGCTTCTGGTCAAAGAAACGAGGACTATATCGCTTTGTTCGCCTTGATAGTTATCTGTATCGTGATTAGTGATGATCCATGAATATTTTTACGTCCAATAAGGAAAGCACGAAAATAAGATCACTGGGAATTAGCAAAATATGAAGCCTCAAATTTTGAGAAAAATGCCATGTTCAGAGCGAGTTAAACACCTCAACGGAATTTGTAATCTTTTAAGATTACAATTGTTGGATTGCAGCTCAAACTTATCACGATCCCTGAAGTTAAAGCAAGGCAGAAGAGAAGAAAAAACTTACCAACAGTGGAAATCCGTAGTGATGGCTTGGAAGATTTGGCACCAGTGTCAACATACAGTCCAGCACGGATGAGATCAAATTTATCCAAATCGTTAAGGACAGGATCGTTCTCTTTCGCAAGCTTCTCAAGCAGTAGTCTAAGCTGAGCTACATAGGGAGTTAAGACAACCAACTTGTCCGAGCCATATCCTTGTTGAGCAAGGTACTTAACGCATTTGAGTATCATGTTGGCTTCAAATTCGTTCTTCTTGGATGATGTCGACTCCACATTATCCCTCATCTCTTTGACACTCACATCGTGTTCCGGAGATGTGTGGTCTACGAAGATAAGATTGTCTCTAAAGCCGAGAAGATCTTTCCGATTTTTTGTCGAATCGGCATCAACTAAGTCAGGGTAGGTAAGATGTCTAATAATTGACGATATCTCCGGTCGAGAACGATGCTGTTTTGTCAGAGTGACATGTGGGAAGCCGTCAAGTACGAGTCTTTCAAATAAAGACATGTCCAGATTGTACCCGTCCCCTTGTTCAACCTTGAGGCCGTAAGTATTGCACTTCGGACGAAGTTGTTTATGGTCTCCAATGAGTATCACCTGTTCAGTTTTCCTCCCCAAAGCTGTGAAGATATGAGCTTCAAGAATCTCTCCGGCTTCCTCGACTAACAAGACCCCAGGAGATGCTGTTTGGATTGCGGTGGAGTATTTTGCAGCCGCAGTAGTCGTGCAGCCAATGATTCTCTTTGACTTGATCATGTTTGCATCTCTTTGTCCAAGAAGCTCACTTTTCTCTGCTTGTTCGGCATTGAACTGCTTTCCAATTTTATCCAATTCTGCAACCATCTCCTCTATAATAGCCGACTTCCAACTTGAAATCATTCTTGCCCTCTGATCAGGGCTGATACCCCACACTGTTTTTGAGTTCTTGCGCTGTGAATGCTCAAAGGATCCAGCATTCATCTGCCCTCTGGTCCATCTATCAAGCAAGTAGAACTTATCCACAGCTCTACCCTTCTTACCAACCTCCGTCATGCCGTTCTTGGTGGTTTGTGGTACCAGAAATGTATCGTAAAATGGCATGTCATCTAGGAACTCAAGATAATCCAGAATTTGCTGCTTACTAACATTTGCAGAGTTGTATCTTGTAAAAGCACCTTTCAATCGCGCCTCGTGCAGACGCAAACTATCTTCGAGTTTGTTGATCCGATTCCATTGGGAGTTATCGAGTTTTGATGTACCTTGTTTGCTAAGTAATAACCCCTGTGTCCGAGAGGTGGACTTTGCGCCGAGTCTTATCATATCAGAGGGCGGTATACCAATATCCATAAGGTCTTCGAGGAATTGGTCCAATGCGTGGTTTGTGTAACACACGACTAGAATTCTTTCAGATGTGAAGTTGTGAATTACTTTCGCTCCTAGAGCTCCAATAAATGACTTCCCCGTTCCTGTCGAGACTTGTTAATACTCATTTTCAACTTGCTGCCTCGGTATATATATTAATGTACAACGTAATAGCAATGGAATGCGAGCAATTCTTTTTATACATATTTAGATAGGGATATTGAAAAGTGCCACGAGTCCTAAGCACATCGTCTTGATGTGCAACCTACTTCTTCCATCGCATGACGAAATGAGGAGATCCATACCTGGGGGCCCTTGAATCAAACTGACTCTTTGGAATAAGATAGCAAGTAAAGACTGAATTTGAGAGTCATCAAGAATAATCGATTCATTTGTTGAAAGAAGAGATTTCAGATCTTTCCCAGAACTTCTTTCTATCTCCTTTTTCAGTTGCAAAGGCTGGAATGACGGTCCAGAATTGAATTGATCCTCGCTCCACGAAAGAAGCTTCTCTGCCAAAGGAACGTCTTTCATATCTTGTAGGCGCTTGAGGAATGGCTCAAAGCCGAAGATTGACGTGTCCATTTGCACCAATTTGATCTTTTGAGCCATCTTGAGCTTTATCAAAGTTCTTGATACAGTTGTCTCATCTTGAAATTGCAAAACAATATTAGCAGGTTTTTTTGCCAATTCTTCTTCGTTCCTATCGATAGACGGAAAGGCGACAGGTTCACCATCAACAAACAAGCATCCGATTGTTCCTTGCCTAAGAATGTTCCTGTTTTCCTTGAGGTAATCGACGCGCTTCCTTTGATTCTTAGAGTCTATTTTCTTCAAAGACTGTAACTCATCTTGGCATTGAAACATAAGGCCCCATGGCTCTCGGAACTTATCTCCTTTGATATGTATGCTTGCCACTCGAATATTATCGAACGTCAGCCCTCGATGGTGTCCCGATCTCGAGCCTTGGAGCTTCTGAACCTCCTCTCGAATTTCGCCCAGCATGTCTTCACGAAGGAGTCGAAATTGATTATCGATGTGGATCCCTAATCGAGTGGGATCTACATTTTTGAGGTATGTGTCCGGAGTACGTAGAAATGGTCGTTCCTTAGATAGAAGTTCATCTGCTGTAGGCATAATTGAAATATCTCTGTGGTTCGCATGGTCATTATTGTGTCTTCCACCGGGCCCAAAATCAAGGTCTTTGTCAGGGTCGGATGCATCTAAGGATAGAGTGTGCTTGATTTTCTGACCCAAATTTCTACAATCCCCATTGGCAGATGTTAGAATCGCATCTAAGACACCAGGTGATTTCGCCACAAGGACATAAGTAGCTGGTGACTTTCCAGGACGATTGATAAGCTCGAGTAAAAGCCATGCAAATGCATAAGATGCCTCTTCATTCAATTGCCCAGTCTTGAATGCTTTCATGAATCCGTCCCAGAAAAAGGGAGGCTCGGCTATCGCGGTAATGAGCTCTGATAAACTTAATCCGGAGTTGATGGCTTTCAGGGCTGGTGATTGTAAATATTGAAGTAAGAGCACAGATGTTTCGTTGAGGAACGGGGGGGTGGTGTCAAAACGCATTGAGGTTTGGATTGCATCAAGGCCCGACGGCCCAGATAATAGTTTATAGGCTGATGTTGCTGGATCTTTTTGAGAGCAGATTGCTTCAATAAATGTTTTTCCATCTCGGACTGATGATAGGGTCCTTCGCCCATTGATAACGTCATGGAAGAAACGATCAAGGCGGAGAACTCGAGGGTCGTCAACAAGGGAAGCCATGAAGATTCTGAATAATGGTGAAGAGGAAGGGTTTGGTTGTCAATAGATTGTGATAAGAAAGCTGTTGATTTAATATTGTGGACTGATATGCCTTACAGGAAGTGTTGGAAGTTGAGATATGGATCTTGCAAACGGCTCCGTTTTGGATTATGAAAAGCATCAGACAGGGTAACTTTAACACTCGAAGGTTCTCTCTGTTCTGATAGACACTACTATAGCGGCATTGAATATGCATAGTCATATCGAGTGATAAAAGAGATTATCGGTTTCCGGCCTGCTGCAGAAATGGAAAGCCTCGCGAAGAATGTTTTGCTGTCCAATCCTTTATTTGTTTTTTGAAAAGCGACGTATGAATGGCAGGTCGTGCAGGCCTATGAAGGCAACCGGCATACACTGAAACCAAATGGCAAGGCATTTCCGTATGCTATGCGCTGTGAGGCATAGAAAGAAGATAGGAAAGCCAATGGGCTTCTGGGGCGGACACAGGGTCACATTGTGAGATTGATTCCTGCTTTTGCCTTTACCAAATGGATATGGCTTGTAATCATGACTAGAGCATTTCAGTCTCGAAACATTCCTGATACTAAGAATCTCATCATCTCGGAAATCAATAATCGGCAGAAATAATCGTTTAGTTGATACTTGCGACCATTGCAATCGATCATGTCGTCGTACAAAGATAGCAATTATAGAAAAAGAAACTGGGGTAAGAGTAGTGGAGCTCGTGGGGGCTTCACGCAAGGCTCAGCGTCTCATGTTCTTCCGCCAGTATCGGATAAGCCGTTTGGACCAGAGATCGACAGCATCAATATATCAAATCTGTTGATTGAGGAAAATGCACCCATTATTGAGAATGTCAATTATGTCGCTTCTTACAACTGGGTCGATGGGAAAAGTCCCATAATACTTGTACCAGGTAGGCAAAAGATTATTCTCGTCATTGAGAAACACCGGCATCAGAAGGCCTCTGCCGATTTGCAACATGCTTTCTTGACTGTTCATGAATTGAACCCTAGCGTCCTTCATTGTTAACACGTGAGGAACAGGTTCTCCTCCAGCTTGGTCTCCTCCCGCTCAAGATGAGATGCTTCCTGAAGATAGTGGGGTCGTATATCGCGATATTAACGCTGCACGATATCCTGATTATCCCATGGAACCCGTCGTCCGATCACTTTTGGTCCTTGAACCTGATTTTAAGACGCAGGCTGTAGATTTGGTGGCATGCGGGTCTACAATTGGAAATCTCCTACGATTTGCAAGTTCGTTGGCAATGCCATTTCGATTTGATGCAGATCTCGTCGGAGACACTGTTTTCTTCATCCGAAAAGGAAAAAGTCCGACGGAAACAATTGACGACCTTCAAGGTTACGGTCATACATTTCCGGAACGATATACTACATGGGACAGAGATGTGGGGGGCTCTTGCTCACATCAGCGCATAATTGAGTACGATTTTGCGGACCTTCACCTTTTGGTTCGCAGCGAGACTGATGGGTATCTTAAGAAGCAAGAGCCAAATGCACCTGCCTCTCCAAGATCGGGGGGAAATGCACAAACATCGATAGATCAATCATTTGCCAAGCTGGAAGTAGGTACCGCCAGTGCGGTATCCGATAATTCTAAGCTGGACCTGCGAATGCAAGGCGTCAAACAGCCCCAGAGTCAGATCTTTGATATGAAGACTCGCCGTTACTTTAAGACCTTTGACATGGAAGAGATTCTTCCTCGACTTTGGGTGAACCAAACTCCCAACTTCTTGATTGCCTATCATAAATCCGGACTCTTTGACAACCCGCAAGTATCCAACGTCAAAGATAAGGTCCTGGAATGGGAAAGGGAGCATGCTACTTTGTTGAGCAAATTTCACGTTCTTTTAAAGAGAATTTTAGAGGTCATAAAAGATTCCGAAGATGATCGCGTGGAGGTCAGCTGGGATGGTAAGGGTCCGCTGCGTGTGACGAAACAAATTGGAGAAGGAAATCGAGTACTCCCATCGGATTTGTTGCAAAAATGGGACGAGTTGGGCTAGCCTTACATTCATTCTTTCCTTCTTGCGTCGTGCTTAAGTTTGCAGTTTCTTTTGGATGGGATCTTTTCTATACTCTAAATTGAAATATCTTCAGTTCGTTCTCTCAATTCCATTGATTTTTTTTGATTTTTTTGATTTTTTTGAGATTTTGAATTTGTTTAAAAATTGGGACAAAGTTCTCTCTAATTGAGTTGCCACAGTGCTTGAGATTAAACTTAGGTTCTAGACAATGATTTTTTGTATTCTCTTGATAATCTCTTAGGGGAGTTCTAACAGTGACACAATGCCAACTCAGATTCCCCCATCATTTTCCTAGTCATGTAGGTATTTAGTTATCTAATCTTTCTGAACTACGATCATTATAAAAGCATCGTAGATTGATTGTCGATATCTTTACAACGACCAATATCTTAACTGCTCCGGAAGCTTACCCCAATTCAAAAACTCTTTCTGGATGCAAAAACTTTGATGCTGTCAGAAAGAACTTCTTCTGGTTGTGTTTCCCCTTGTACGATGCGTACCAAATCAGGTGCGTCCGAATTTTTAGTACCCTCAAATAAATCATCAATCTCCTCGAGGGTTTTTCCTCTTGTCTCCAACCAATACTTCCAGATCAACCCCACCTCCAAGACATCCCACGCGCCATTCATCATATATATCTCCCTGCCAATAGCTTCTTGCGCAAACGGGAATGAGAAAACAATCAGAAGTGCAACTCCATTGAGGGCGAAAGTGAAGAGGCTAGGCTGTGCAATGGGTACCCGCGGGGCGGATAATGGCCTCGACGGATAATCCGTCTACGGAGCAGATAATTCAGAATCTGGACGGGTAACCCGTAAGGTTGTTACGGGAGCTGCCTCTAGGGTCACGTGGAAGTGTCTAGAGATCTCTCGAGGTGGTTTAGACTAGACTTCAAGTAGGAATTCAATAAGGTTGGTAACTGGTTGCAATTCTCGTAACTATAGTAATGAAACTAATGATTGTTCTTGAGCACGAAGCTCTACATTGTAATGAAATCTGTTCTCTTATATAGACCTTCCTGCTCTGCAGAACCTACAGTTCTGTCTTGTCTGGATCCTCTGGATCCTATGGATCTAGATGTTTATTCTTCGATCCCCTAGATCCTCTAGGTCCATCACGTGACTTCCTGACCATGTGACGCGGTATGTTGGATGCTGTCGTAACAAAGGTGGGTACAAATTATCTACAAATATTTAACGTGATTTATCAGTGTGCGGGTCATATCAGTGTGCGGGTCATTTTCACCTCAATTCACTCTTTCAAACTCATATTATTCAACAACCATTGAATCAATTGATTAAAACTATGAAAATTATAATAATCTAGGATCTATTATATTATCTTGACAAGTTCTTGCATTATGTCCGGTCTTTCCGCATTTACTACAGCATCGACTAGAAGATGCTTCTTCATTAGAATTCCTCCCTTTTTGACGCTCGTCGCGTTGAATCTGAATATCAACCTCTTGTTGAGATAATATATCAAGAGCTTCTTGCCCAGTAAGTACTCCTCCTTGACGTAATTGGGGTTTTTTTCGCGCGTCGACGCTTGCTTAATGCCTCATTTGCCTTTCGAAGTGTACGAATCTCTGCATTCAAAAGTGTATTCTCATGAGCTAATCTCTCTGTACCTTTAGCTAGAGCTAGTACAGTCTCAAATATAGGTGTAGGGGAGCTTGATTGATGTCGGGTTATTCGAGATTTCACTAAAATTGATTGAGAAAGAGCTTCAGTTGGGTTGTGAGGGGTTTGAGAGATCCATTGATCTAGATCGAAAGAGGGAGGGGTAGGTGTACGAATTCGAATATCTAACTTCGAAAGTACGGCTTCAGGGTTAAATGGTATTAAACCTGTTCCTCGAAATCCTGATTTCATATTCTGAGAGATGATTGATTCTTTATATGCAGCTTTAAAAGCTATAAAGAATTCAACCTTCGAAATATGATTGATATGTGCCTTGATAAATCCATCAATTTGACCACCATATGAACGTTTCAGATTGCTAAAACAGCCCACATCAAGTGGTTGAGTTAAATGACTTGAATGCGGTGGTAGACTTAAGCATATAATATCGTTCTCTTTGCAATATGCTTGAAAAGCTCTTGATTCATGGCTTTCATGCCCGTCTAGTACCAACATTCGATACCTGCCCTTTCTTCGGTTCTTAGTGTGCTTGTCGAAGTGTTTCAACCATTCTAAACCTGTCTCATTGTTTGTCCATCCATTAGATGTAGGTTTAATAGCCCAATCCGCAGGAAAATCGGTTTCGGTATACCAATTGGAAAGATGAACCTGTCCTTGAACCACTAGAAATGGGGGTATAGTTTCACCCTCCCCATTGCCACATATGATTGCTGTAGCCCATTCTCTATTGCCTGGTTGTATTGCCTTGCTTCTGCCATTCCGTTCAGCACTAGTTACTACCATTCCGGGGCATATTATACCCATCATAAAGCCCGTCTCATCGAAATTGTAGAAATCGCCATCCAAAATGCTGTATTTCGCTCGCATATTCGCAACCAATCGAAACCACTCTTCAATAAGCTTAGGATCTTCGCAGAGAGCTCTTTGAAAGTCATAAACACGACTAAAACGCGTCTTTAATTCGATTCGACGCTTTACGAATCGATGCGCCCAGAGCTTCCCAACGCGCTTTGCACCCCTCGATTCAAGAATATGATTCGCCATATCTTCTACATTTCTTAATTTAGGTGGAAATCCTCTCAAATCCATATCAATTATATATTCAGAAATGATATTCTCTTCTAGTTCTGAAAGATTATAAGATTTAGGTCGATATTCGGAACGGGAAGTAATACCATTAATTCTACGCTGTAGTGTTGTATTCGAGATATTATATATCTTTGCAACCTTTCGAATACTTGTTTTTTTGTCTTTTTGAATAGCTTCGATAGCGAGGAGTATACGGGCTTCTTGATTATTCGAATCCA